ACTTCAGACACAAGTTTGTTCCGGTACTCGGCGACGTTTTCCCGAGAAATATTGGCACGACCGGTGTATAGAGCATCACCAGTGCTGTCATCCGCATAGCAATGAATGCTACCGGTTTGCAACATATCATTGATATGCAGAAGAAACAGCGTTGCTAATAGCACGCAGCCTTGTGGAACACCAGCGTTAATAGGCTTGTAGTCAGATATATATATATATATATATATATCTGTACTCAGTATATAAATCTCATATCGAATCAAAAATACATATCAAAATTAGAAATGAATTATTCCAGCAAAAGAAAAGTAAAGCGAGATGGGAGGGTAACATTTGTTATTACTCGGTATCATATATCTTTAATAAGAGCTAAGTGCAAAACAGCTTTCCTTGGCACTTTAATAAATACAGAAAGCTTAAAAAATAATAAACGTATACGCTTTCATAACAAAGTCCCAGAAAATATGCTGGCCTTATCTATCAAAGTTTAAAATTTTTACCAAGTAAAAAATGGTTAGTAAGGATTATTAGGGTATACTACTAAAGAGTACATGATTGATAATAACCCCTGAGAATGAGGTGATCGCTACCATGCTGTTTCTAAATGTTTTCATACTAATTCTAAAATAATATATTGTAAATTAGTTTTATATTAATTTTTTGGTTACCAATAATATGTTTATTTGTTATATACAATTTTTGTATAATATGTTTGTAAAAAAAAAAATTTAATCAAAATTCAAATCGTCAAATGTGTTATTTATATTAGTTACGTAATAATAAATTGGTATTTCGTCAAAGTTATGTTATATTTTGACAGATTGTTTTAAAAAAAATGGGGAAATTTTGTTTTACATGACAACCCTATATAACACGCAAACATACTTGCACCCCCGCCATTACAATGCATCATTCCTTTCTTAACAAAATTCTTTTCGCCTTATTTATACGTCCATGATAACAACAAAATTATTTTTGCTTTGTCATCCATCAAGACCCGTATCTGCGCAAAACTCGCGACATCTATTTTCAATCGTCAAAACCACTTGATACGCTGAAAGACGATCGATCTATTCTTCGATTCGCATAAAGTTATTGAGTTAGCGGAGATATGTATTAATTAGTACTGTGGAATTTCCACAGAGGGCGTTAACTGTACGGACGCTGCAGGACGGTTGCGTTTAGTTGTTAATACAGTTACATACTAGTATATATACAGTAATCTATGGTTAAATACCAGCACTTCGGTTCTATAAAATAAGGCGCCAAAATGTCAGAAATAGAGAAACTCCTAAGGGAATTGAGAGTTAACATTAAAAAAGACTCTGAAGAGTCGCTACAAAAGTTAGAAAATAGAATTACGAATAAAATTAATCAAAAATTTCATTTCATACATGAAGAATTAGGAAAGAAAGAAACTAGCACAGAACAAGAAAAAAGGATTTCTTATTTAGAAAAATATTCTAGACAAAGAAATATTATATTTTTTGGTGTAAAAGAAGAACAAAATTACTACGAATAGTTAGAACGGAAAATTTTGCAAATAATAAAAGATAAATTAAATATAGAATGCGACAGAAAATAATTAGAGATGATTCGTCGGATGGGCAAGTACAATGAAAACAAAGTAAGACCTATTGTTGTAACTTTTACTACCTATAGCCGAAAAATCACAATACTGAAAAATAAAAAACTTATGAAGACAGAAGAAATTTATCTTAAAGAAGATTAATTAATAGAATCAGGCGTTACTTTGCGGAAATCCATTATATAAAAGCTTTTAGAAAAATTTTACTTCGCAAATATCCGCGTTATAAAGTCTTACATACGTGTAATAAAGGGCTGCGGCTGTGTGTGCTGGAACAGTTAGAGATATTAAAAAGTAACAATAGTACCGTTGCATTGCTGAATGAACAAACAAGTGTTACTAACTCACCTCTCTTAAATATCTTTAAGCCTGCTCTCTATTAATAGAGAGCCTCGCAATATGGTCGTTTGTCACCCTCACGGTGATCAGCGATTGGTTGCGTGGTTGGAAGGTGGGCGTTGCGCGGCGGTTTGTTTTTAATTTTACAAACGGCTGCGTAAGTCCGGTGGTGATTGGTCGCATGTTTTATCGCATGACGCAGTCGCTCGCTCCTTAAGTAGAGAGCGGTTGCGTCATCGGTCTGTATAAAAGGCACTTGTTTTGGCTCGCCGCTCACTTAGCGGTTAGCCACCGTAGAGTCTACATCAATTGAGGATGCCTCGTGTAGAGATGAAACACGTGTCGTGGTGTTGGAAGTAGCGGTGCTGGGATTAGTGGTGACGGGAATAGTGCACGCAATTGAGGGCGGGCGGGAGGTGCTCTTCATACTAGGTAAGACACATCATTTTATTTTATAACGCGGATATTTGCGAAGTAAAATATTTCTAAAAGCTTTTATATTAAAGAAGATTTTTCACTACAAATCCTGAATACAAGAAAAACATTGATGGTACAACTTAAAAAAGATAAAGAAGCCGGGAAAAAAGTCTATCTACGTTACGACAAACCAATAGTCCGAGAACCATCAATAAAGAAGAAGAGTGAAACAGATGAAGAAGAACAAAAGAGAAATAACACCACCTAACCAAAAAGAAAATCTGAATAGCCAACCAGATACACACCAACAAGTACTAAAGAAAAATAAGACACAAGCGAAGAAAACCGGGGATAACCGAAGTTCCATAGGGAAATTCATCAGCAAAGCATAACTAAAGCTCCAGAATCTAGAAGGACTTCTTTGTCCTCTGAATATTCAAATTTAGATGAATAGTAACTAGGAAAGCACCTTCAAAATCTGAAATGCGTCGCGCCCACAAACACAACAAAAAACATAATATAACCTCCCCCAGAACGGCTCGTCACCGCGGGGGTTGTAGACGACCACCCTCCAAACCTCAAAACATATTACATTGCAACATTTAATGTCAAATAAATAAAAAAAAAGAAGAACACGAAGTAGGTCATCAAAAAGGTGGAATGATGACATCGTCGAAGTAGCTGGTACACTATGGCCAACATTAGCGCAAGACAGAACCACTTGAAGTAATTTGGAGGAGGCTTTCACCGCAAAAGGCGGCCCTTACAACTAACAAAATTAAATATAAAGACATACTGACACTACTAAGAAATAAAATAAAAACAATGGATACTAGCTATAATATTATAAACTTAATATTATTCATGTAAGGGATAAATAAAGCTAAATAAATAAATAAATAAATTGCGAGTTAGAAATCTCTTGTTTTATTTATTATCACCACAAACGCGATTGAAGACAATAACAAAGGTATTTTAGAGACTTTCCGGTACTTTGCGCAACATAAGTGTGACTTTTAGCACATAATAAATAATAATACTACGTACATAAATTGCATTCCTTTAATGTTGACTGCTTGCCGACGTTTTAATAGCCTACATAGTTAATATTAATCAGATAAATCGCGCACGCAAGCTAAATATAACTTTATCGCTGTGCGCGAGTGGCCGCATTACTTTGTATCTTTTCTCCTTCCTACGTCACAACGGACTTTCCGTGGTTAGTAAGGGCTATTAATAAAGAGTAATAAAATACATTGTGAAATTGTAAGTTTATTTATTATTTACCATATTTCCGCTACTATGCGAGTTCTGTGATACCCAACGCATGCAACTTGCAAGGCCATTCGTCGGGAATCGCGATCTTCGGCTCAGAAGAAACAGGTAGATAGTATAAACAACAAATAAACCCAATATACGATTCCTAACAGAAATGTGATCGTATTCTACTTAGTTAAAAATCTTGTAAACTAAGTATTTTGTTATTATAACTTAAAATATTTTATTTACAAAAGACAAGTATAGGTATGTAAGTAGGTACTTGGGTAGTGAAGTAAATTTCAACTAAGTTTTGTAATAAAGTACTTAGGTATGACTTCTGTAGTTAAATTATAACCTAATTCATTTTTCGCCTATTACCTATCAAATAAGAAATTAAATAAATTTTCCTGTCATTATGCTTCGGTAACTTAAAAAATGATGTATCCGAATCCTTTTGTTCCATCCCCGCAACAATTATAGTAGGAACGACGATTTGCCATTATAATTTATGAGATAGATAGGTAATATAAATATAACAATATATTATTCTTAAATTAATATAATTTTTTTAACAGTGGTAGAGCCACGCGGCGGCTTTTGCTGTCGCACGGATGGGCCGGCTCGAACCGGGGTGGTACCACGACCTCACAGAAAACCAGCGTGAAGTAGAGGTTTACCTCTGCGTTTCGCTTGGTGAGTGCAGGTGGCCAGAGGCCCTTTTTACTGGAAATGAGGCATTCCATCTTAGTCCTCACGGGTGACAACGCATCTGCATTTTGAATCGCAAACGAGGATAGATGTAGATGTCTATGGGCCGCAGCAACCACTTACCATCAGGTGGACTGTGTGCTCGTATGTCACCTTTATCTTATAAAAAAAAAAATTACATTAAAACTTTTTCAACTATTTTATCCTACAATTAAATATACTAAACACTAAACAAAAACTATTTCGACGAGTATTTCAACAAGTATCTACAAAAAACTATTTACGTAAACAGCGTTAAAAAACTTTAACATTCAATCGTCTAGAACGCGCTAGCCCCGACTGCGTTCTGCTTCTGCCCCAGGGGCGCCCCGCGATTGTAGGTAATTATTTCACGCAGATAGCAAAAGTAACAAGAGGCCTGCTTTTAGGTAATAATGATCTCTTAGGTGATACGTAATGTTTAGGGAGGGTGACGAAGTGTACTTTGCGACAGAAATAGGTAAAGGAACGGCATCATCCAGATGATTTTTGGTAAAATAGATCTCTCTCATGTTTGGAAGTGCCTGCCTGCTGTTATATCCTTAAAAATTTCAAATAAAACAAAGTTTTGATTTCGCAACTCCAAGGGTCTTTTATTATAATACATAAAATATTACAACACAAATTGTGTTCCGAAATCAATGAACAATTAATTTCTTCTTCTTCTGACCCTTGATATTCGCCAAGCGTTCGGTTCCTCGTACTTGTTATAAAGAGGCTCGAGCCTTTGGTTCTTCTTAAACTTAGACAGTTTAGTAGGATCAGAAAATTTGAAGAAGGCCGGAGCAAATTCAACAAGCCATTTGGGATCTATTGTAGTGACTTCACGCATGTACTCCTTCGTTGTTTGGACCAACTCGTGGTAGATTACCCTGTGGAAATTACATACAATAAATACCCAATTTAGATCTTAGTTATATTGTCAATGCAAAATTTTAGGTAACTTACACAAAAAACAATTTTTTTATAACTTACCATTCTGGCTGCCTGTTGAATAATGCACTCGATGGATGGATGTACACAACTTGGCTGTCCACGAGAGTCCTGTAGCCTTCCTGTGGGTCTTTCTTAGCCGCATTCCTGAAGAAGCCTGAACAGATAGTCTTCTGGACCCGTACTGTGTTTTTAGCCGCTGACACAACATCCAATTTGTGCCTACAAAATATAATCATTATAGTATTAAACTAGCTGTACTAAATCTTTTTCTAAAATAAAAGTAGCCTAAGTTACTCATTATACAATATGTAACAAAAACCCTGTGGTTCCCGTTAAGTACGTTATCAGGATCATTATTCAAACGTATAGAAATAACTTTTTTTTTTAAACTCGAACAATATTTTTTTTATTTAAAAAAAATGATTGTATGCAAATTGTATGTGGTTTTATTACCTCTGCATTGTCTGAGGAGTAAGAGGATTGTCAAAGACCCCGCTTTACTTAGCTTTAGCATCGGCTAGTGTCAGTAAGAGGTAATAGAACCATATAAAATTAATTTTTTTTTAATAAAATAAAAAAAGATATGCTCGAGTTTTTAAAAAAAGTTTTTTCTATAGGTTTGAATACTGATCCTGATAACGTACTTAACGGGAACCACAGGGTTTTTGTTACATGTTGTATACATTAGCTATCTGAGAGTGAGTCCCGTCAAAATTGGTGCAGCCATTTCGGAGATTAGCCGGATCAAACAGACCGACAGTAGACAAAAATTTTAAAAGTTGTGTTTATTTTATAAGTACGGTATATACTTTCATATGAATTTAGTAAAAAGTTGTTATTTTGACATTACAAACAGACATTTTAATTTTAATTTATTTGTATATGGATTAATGTGTGCCGTAGCAAGGGGGGCGGAAGGAAGAACCTGGTGGATGAATTTGAGGGCAAATTTTCCTTAACTCTGCCATATGTTTTTAAATGTTGCTAGATAAAATATCAAAAAATTAATTTTTTTTTATAGGATAAGGGTGACAAACGAGCACACAGTCCACCTGATGGTAAGTAGTTGCTGCGGCCCATAGACATCTACATCAATCCTCTATTACAAATCAAAATGTAGATGCGTTGTCACCCGTGAGGACTAAGATGAAATGCCTCATTTCCAGTAAAAAGGGCCTCCGGCCACCTGCACTCACCAAGCGAAACGCAGAGGTAAACCTCTACTTCACGCTGGTTTTCTGTGAGGTCGTGGTACCACCCCGGTTCGAGCCGGCCCATCCGTGCAACAGCTAAAGCTGCCGCGTGGCTCTACCAAAAAACAACTTCAAAAACTTAAGATATAAAACAAATTATTACTACGAGTGGAGGTCAAAAAGTTCCCGGAATGACAGGGAAGCATAATGAAATGAAACATTTAACTATTTTTCCTTTTTAATGTATTCTACCTTAACCCTAATAGATTTATTTGATCTGTCAAATTACTTATTACTCTTGCTTTGACTCAGGTTCTTAATGGTAAACCCAAGTTTCATCGCCAGTTACAATTCGGGCCATAACTTCCTCCCTTTGCCCTCCACAGCGTTCCAAAAACTCGCGACAACTTTCGACGCGCTCGTGTTTTTAATGCGCAGAAAGCATTCTTGGAACCACCACAGACCACACATGACTTTAGTCATGCCAAGGTGTTGATATAGGATGTTTAAAATGAATTTCTGATACTCCAAGTAATGTTTCAAGCTGTTTTTTCTGTAGCCGGGCATCTTCCGATACAATTTTTCAACTTTTTCGATTATTTCTGGCGTGGTAGCTTCAATCGGCCACCCAGGTCGGCGGTCGTCGTCAATGGAGTCCCTCCGTTGTTTGAAAAGGACGTGCCATTTATAAATCATGCTTTTCCCAGGAGCGGAGTCCCCATAAACAGCTGAAATCTCTTGAAAAATGGTTTGAGGTGTCTTTCCTTGTTTGGTGAGAAACTTAATGACGGCGCGATATTCGATTTTTTCCATTGTGACTAGTTTCTTCCCGATAGACGTGTTTACTCGTTGATAACTCAAAAGCTAATGAGCCAATTAGGCTGAAACTTGGTATATATACTAACAATGAGTCGCTCAACTAGCGCCTACCTGGATGAGTAAACTCTACCTTGCCAACCTCGCCATTCCGCAAAATTTTTGACCTCCCCTCGAATTATTTAAATACATCGATTTAATAGTTAAATAAATCACAAACAGTTGATGGACACAATATGGATATATATGGATAACAAGTGCAAAGTGGTATCAGCCCTGCAGTCGCCAACCAGCTCCCCTAGCATAGTGAGTGTTTTTTTTAAATAGTACATCATGTCATTTGGTGCATTCTTTGAAAGGCTAGTTCTTCTTCTTCATCAGCCCGTAAAAGTGACGCTTGATAGACGGATTGATGATCGCACTACCATATGTCTCGCACGTTTGACGCTGCTTTTTTGTAGGAGAGGGGGCAAACGAACATGCGGCTCACATGATAGTAAGTGACTACCGCCGCCCATGAACAACTGCAACACCGGGGGAACTGCAGATGCGTTGCCAGCCTTTTAAAAAGGAGTAGGCACTTTTCTTGAAGGTCCCTAAGTCGTATCGGTCCGGAAAAATCGCTAGTGGTACTCGATTCCACAAGGAAGTTGTGCGAGGGAGAAAACTTCTTCTAAATCGCACAGTGGTGGACCGTCAATCATCCAGATGATATGGATGGCATCGCGAGTTTTGTCGTAGAGAACCGGAGACCCTTTTTACTGGAAAAGAGGCATTCCATCTTAGTCATCACGGGTGACAAAGCATCTGCATTTGATTCTTTATTGAGGATAGATGTAGATGTCTATGGGTCACAGCAACCACTTACCATCAAGTGGACTGTGTGCTCGTTTTTCACCCAATCCTATAAAAAAATTGCAATATTCATGATAAGTCAGAATATATACCTGTCCATGATCCCAAGCAGTTGCTTCCTGACATCTTGGGCACGCTTTAACGTGCGTATTTGAACGAAGTTTTCATAGCACCAGGCGTTAGAAAATTTATTGTTCCTCCAGCTGTTATAAACGGCGAGCAAAGTCAGATGGTCACCCTCCGGTTGATTGAACTTGGCCTTCTTTTGGTCGGCAAGTGCTTGTTTGTCTTTCGGTCTGTAGAATACATTCTGAACACTCAGCATCGAGACAATTGTTAAGATTTCGTCTGAGCATTGCAGAGCTACTGACATGATGAGTATTTTCGACAGGTTGGGTTCAAGAGGAAATTCTGCCATCTGTAAGAAATATTCGAAGAAATTTATTAAACCATATCAATCAATCTAGCATGAAAGATTAAAAACGCTATTGATTATAATTAGAAATTCTTTATTGCTAATAAATAAAAAAATAACAAATATAATAACAGGCAAAATAAAACTGACGCTATCAGACTTTAGCAAGTTGAAAAAAATGTCAAACATTTATTTTTAGACAAAACTGATCTTTGAACAAGAATTTACTTTTGAAATATGGCAGTTCATAGTTACTTAATCAACTGTAAAACATGAGACAATAATGATTTCTTATATTTACGCGAACACTACACATTGAATAAAACTACTTTTACGGATTCTATCGCGTTTAATTTATTTATTTTTATTAAATTCCAACGTTTCGGGTGCTTTACAGCACCCATGGTCACGGGGGACTGAGGTGATTGACGTCTCGATGTCAGAGTTAACTTTACTTTTACCTTCAGCTTTTTTAATTATTAGTTATGGTCTGATCTACGCAGAATGAACTTACTGTGTCTTGACGTCTTGCAGTGGTATGCCCATGAAGCTAATACAAAGGGGAGACGGCATAAGCAACTGTGCACTGTGATTCTAAGTAGGTCCTGACGTCATCATAGTGGGCGTGGCTTTAGTTAGTATACTGTCAGCATTCGTCCTGTGCGCTTATGTGTTGAAAAAATCGCAGAGCGATGTATTTTCGTAGTATTAAGAAGAAAAGAAAGAAGGTGTTGTGTTTTATTGTGTAAAAACTACTCAGATAGACGCTCTGATGTTATGGATGGCATCACATTTCATTTGTAAATAATTTTACACCTAATTTATTAAAATAGTTCTAGAAAAATCTCTTTGCGTTGGCTTTCAAATATAATTAAATATATTCGACACTAGATGGCGACACTTTGTGTCATGTAAACTAAAAATATAAAGGTCCGTAGAGCTCAGTATTGGTAAAATAATCATACGAAGGTGCTGAAATTTGTTTTGCATTCAGATATAAAGAAATTTTAATCGCAAAATATTCTTTTTATAGTTTATAATCATTATGTGAACAGGCCGTATTCTATCGTCAAGTAAACCTCATAAAGATAACAAAAAGACAGTGCCGTAATTAGAATTCAATTATTTTATTCAGTAATCCAACTTTCAATATTAAAATGAAGGAAATTGTACTTAGGCTGATTTTCACGAAATGTTTAAGTTATTTTTAAGTGACATTCTATATGCAAAGAATACAATACTTAAATACAATCTAATGTTCTTAGATTGGTATTCAAAAAGTGCATTCGGATGCCTAATTTGGAATAAAATATTTATATTTTAATTGATTTGTAAATAAAATTATATTAATTATAATAATTTGTCTATTATATGTTCTCCCTCAGAGATATTAAGTAGTATAACCCACACATAAATAATAGTCCAGCCGTTTCTGCGTGAAAAAATTACACATACACAGTACATACTTAGTGTGGAATAAGCTCAAGGAGACAGAAAGAACACACAAAATTTCGCCTTTATAATATTAGTGAGATAAGTAGGATATTTAGTTCCAAATTAAATATCCTACTTAATATTGAACATAGAATATTTAGTTTCAAAGAGACTTTATTTTATGGATAAAATAAATATATTTTGAAGGTTGATTTTCACGAAATGATAAACATATTTAAATTGTATCTAAGTGATTCTTTGCATATAGAATGTCACTTAAATATAACTTAAACATTTCGTAAAAATCAGCCAAGTACAATTTCCTTCATTTTAATATTGAATGTTGGGTTACTGGGTAAAATAATTGAATTCTAATTACGGCCCTGTCTTTTTGTTATTTTTTATGAGGTTTACTTGACGATAGATGGCGGCCTGTTCCCAAAATTATTATGAAAACTATAAAAATATTATTTTGGCGATTAAAATTTCTTTGTCTGAATATATTTGCTTCATGAGATAGACGCTCCGATGCTATGGATGGCATCACATTTCATTTGTAAGTAATTTTACACCCAATTTATTAAAATAGTTCTAGAAAAATCTCTTTGCGTCGGTTTTCAAATATAATTAAATATATTCCACACTAGATGGCGACACTTTGTGTCCTGTGAACTAAAAATATAAAGGTAAGTAGAGCTCAGTAATGATAAAATAATCATACGAAGGTGCTGAAATTTGTTTTGCATTCAGATATAAAGAAATTTTAATCGCAAAATATTCTTTTTATAGTTTATAATCATTATGTGAACAGGCCGTATTCTATCGTCAAGTAAACATCATAAAGATAACGAAAAGACAGTGCCGTAATTAGAATTCAATTATTTTATTCAGTAATCCAACTTTCAATATTAAGGCTGATTTTCACGAAATGTTTAAGTTATTTTTAAGTGACATTCTATATGCAAAGAATCACTTAGATACAATTTAAATATGTTTATCATTTCGTGAAAGTCAACCTTCAAAATATATTTATTTTATCCATAAAATAAAGTCTCTTTGAAACTAAATATTCTATGTTCAATATTAAGTAGGATATTTAATTTGGAACTAAATATCCTACTTATCTCACTAATATTACAAAGGCGAAATTTTGTGTGTTCTTTCTGTCTCCTTGAGCTTATTCCACACTAAGTATGTACTAAAATATTATTTTTTAGTTTATAACATTTTGTGGACATGCCGCCATCTACCGTCAAGGTAGCTAAGCTACATTGCCACATTGATATGGAAAGATTCGAGTAGTTTTACTATTTATCGGTAGATGTAGATAGTGTAAAGTGGGCGGGGCTTTGCATCCCCTCACCCTGCAAATTGTCACGCGTTGTTTCATAGTGAAATTTAATTACAACGTCTCCTCTTTGTATTTGCTTCATGGGTATGCCCGAGTTTAGTTTTAATTTTATTAATGATTGGATCTTAAAAGCAGGTGGTAGTACCCAGCCTCCTTATCTATTAAAATTATGATGTTTTTAATTTCAATAGCCTCGCGTATCATCCTTGGCAGGAATCGATGTTCTTTCGCGAGAATTTGTGGTTTATCAAATCTAATGTAATGACGGGGGTCGTCTAGAATATGATCACAAACTGCAGACTTCCCGGAACGTTGGCGTTTCACGTCAGCTATCTGTTCTTTTAACTAATTTTTATATACCGAAGGTTTGGAAAACACCTGGAAAAAGATTATTAATTTTAAAGCAATTACTTACCCTACGGCCTAGCCTTGTTAGCAGACCCTCGGAGTCCAAGGCCGACAGTGAGTGCAACTGTTCCAGTGCCATAATGAGAGACTCCACAGGCGGCGCGTCCATGAAGTCGAAGTGTAGCAGGTCGTTTATACCCATGGTTTTCAGTTGCAACACCTGTTGGAGGTTGAGATTAAAAATTAAAAATTGAATAAGGAATTTTTAGTTCTCACAAAGGTAAATGAGGTTAATAAAAAACGGCTCCGTGGCGCAATAGTTTAGCCTTAAGTTGCGGCGCTGCGGGCCGCGGATTCGAATCAACAGCAGGTATTTGTATGACTTACAAATAATAGTTTCGTGTCTAGATGTTGCCTGACAGCTTCCACGTTACATGAGGAATGTTATTAGTATGGGGATAACTTTTTTAATAACAACAGGACAAGTTTATGTTGTCTACTACGAATATTGTTTATTAACCTGAAACAAATGATGCGGTTTGTGTTGTTATATTAAACTTGTTACGCGTTGACGTTAATAAAATAAAGAGTTACGTTATGATTGGTTCTGGTTCAAATATTTATATTTTACAACAAAGGTCTAAAATTGTTTGTTACATGAATCCTTATTAAATAAATAAGTACTTAATAACTAACATCGATTTAGATAGTTTATGCAAATTCATATTCAAAGCTTTTTACTGGTAACAAGCCCTTCCATCTTACTTCTTAGGAGAGGCAGCAGATCTGTATCTGACACTCATGTCTATCCCCGATTAAGATTCAAAATCTTGTTTGTGTCCATGTGGCACAGCATCTACTTACCAAATCGCTTAACCAGTTGCATTACAAAAATATTTTTATAGGATAAGGGTGACAAACGAGCACACAGTCCACCTGATGGTAAGTGGTTGCTGTGGCCCATAGACATCTACATCTATCTTCGTTTACGAATCAAATGACAGTGCAGATGCGTTGTCATTTGTGAGGACTAAGACGGAATGCCTCGTTTCCAGTAAAAAGGAAAGAGGATTTATTGAGGATAGATGTAGATGTCTATGGGTCACAGCAACCACTTACCATCAGGTGGACTGTGTGCTCGTTTGTCACCCTATCCTATAAAAAAGGGTCTCCGTCTTTTCTACGCTTACCATACGAAATACAGCAGCATTACGCTGCTATTTTACGCTGGTATTATGTGAGAGCGTGGTCCTTCCCCGGTCAAGTCGAACCATTCGTGCTAAAATTATACTACTAATATAGCTGCAGCATGGCTCTACCACGTAAAAAAAAACTGTGAGAGTGAGAATTTTTGCTAGCTGGCAAATTTGTAGAGTTACCGCTATGCTGTAATGGCTAATGATAATAACGATATTTAGAAGTGTAGCTCCGTGTACAGCCGGCAGCACTGGTTACTACACCAGTTGGCAGTGGCGGCGGTACGTACGGTGGTGGCGAGGTTGGAGCGCTGTATCTCGGGCACGGGCGTGGGCAGTATTTCGTCTCGGTGTCTCAGTGTACAGCCGGCAGCACTGGTCACCACACCAGCTGGCAGTGGCAGCGGTACTTACGGTGGTGGCGAGGTTGGGGCGCTGTATCTCGGGCACGGGCGTGGGCAGTATTTCGTCTCGGTGTCTCAGTGTACAGCCGGCAGCACTGGTCACCACACCAGCTGGCAGTGGCAGCGGTACGTACGGTGGTGGCGAGGTTGGGGCGCTGTATCTCGGGCACGGGCGTGGGCAGTATCTCGTCTCGGTGTCTCAGTGTACAGCCGGCAGCACTGGTTACCATACGAGCTGGCAGTGGCAGCGGTACGTACGATGGTGGCGAGGTTGGAGCGCTGTATCTCGGGCACGGGCGTGGGCAGTCTCGTCTCGGTGTCTCAGTGTCCAGCCGGTAGCACTGGTCACCATACCAGCTGGCAGTGGCAGCGGTACGTACGGTGGTGGCGAGGTTGGAGCGCTGTATCCCGGGCACGGGCGTGGGCAGTATCTCGTCTCGGTGTCTCAGTGTACTGCCGGCAGCACTGGTCACCACACCAGCTGGCAGTGGCAGCGGTACGTACGGTGGTGGCGAGGTTGGAGCGCTGTATCTCGGGCACGGGCGTGGGCAGTATCTCGTCTCAGTGTCTCAGTGTACAGCCGGCAACACTGGTCACCACACCAGCTGGCAGTGGTAGCGGTACGTACGGTGGTGGCGAGGTTGGGGCGCTGTATCTCGGGCACGGGCGTGGGCAGTATCTCGTCTCGGTGTCTCAGTGTACAGCCGGCAGCACTGGTCACCACACCTACTGGCAGTGGCAGCGGTACGTACGGTGGTGGCGAGGTTGGTGCGCTGTATCTCGGGTACGGGCGTGGGCAGCATCTCGTCTCGGTAGGCGCGCTCCGTGTACAGGCGGTAGCACTTGCCGGGCCCGGTGCGTCCCGCTCTGCCGGCACGCTGCTTCGCCGCCGCCTAAATGTACACATTCATTGAGATATACAATTTACTAACAATTTAATTAAGTATTCAATCATTCAAGAATTTATAATTGAATTGGTATTTTATGATACAAAATGGTAAAAATACAGAAATAATGTATTTTAATAATATAAAAACAAATATAATATAGTATTAAAAATGTATTAGAACAGAAAATACAGAAATTCAAAACGGCCTGTCTGCATAAGTACATAATAAATCATTGAATAAAATAACAATACAATCTGCAATGAATTTAAAAAATAATATAATCAAAACCAATTTTGCCAATTTTTTTTTTATTTTTGCGTTTCAATTTACGTTGTATGTTTCGAGAACTTATACATATGTTATAAACTTTATGATTAATAAAATATAGAGATAATGAGCATAAAATAATGAGGGAGTTGGCACTCCTAACAATGGAAATACTTTTTGAGTTGTAATCACGAAGCAAATACAAAGAAGAGATGGCATAAGCAACTGTGCACTGTGATTCTAACTAGGTCCTGACGTCATCACAGTGGGCGTGGCTTTACTTAGTATACTGTTAACGTTCGTCCTGTGCGCTACGTGTCGAAAATCGCAATTCGGTGTATTTTCATAGTAATAAGAAGAAACGGATGAAGTGTTGTGTTTCATCGTGTAAAAACTACTCAAATAGGCGCTCTGATGCTATGGACGGCATCACATTTCATTTTATACCTACTGTATCAACTGTGGCGGCAGTCACTCTGGCTCAATTCGTGCCCTTGGACCTCAAAGTCCTTGAGATACATGAAGTTGAGACAGTTCGACTACAGGGTGCCACTACCTTATTACCAAGGGATACACAATATGAAAGGCCCACTCCCGTGCATGAGCTATTACATCCTTCAAAGAGGGTAAGCATTGATTGTGCAGACCTGAAATAAGAGGATCAAGAACAAGGGACATCCCTTATTCGAATTTATACAGATTGAAGCAAGCTTGAGGATGGCAGTGTAGGAGCGGCTTTCGTCTGCCTTGTAGGCTCAAAATAAATACATAAAAACAGGCTGAAACTACACACAAGCTGCTCTGTATTTTAAGCGGAGCTCTTAGCGATTTAAGAGGCCTGCGAGTGGACTTTGGACCGAAGATTGAATCAAGGAGATGAAACGCATCAAAGAGGCAAAAGAATGCACACATGCCAAAAGGAGATTATTCAGATCTTGAGTGACTCTCAGGCTGCATTGAGCGCACTCCAAATGAGATCCAACACCCACGCCATTGTGGCAAAGACCCATTATAGAATATACACAGCGGCCCAAATGGACCTTAATATCATGTTTTCATGGGTTAAGGGACATGCAGCTAACGTTGGTAACGAAATCGCCGATGAGACTGCCAAAGGTGCTGCCACGCAACATAAAAGCCCTGATTATGCGAAATTCCCCATGAGCTTTGTAAAAAGGACTATGAGAGCAAACACTTGGAGAATTCGGCAGTCAAGATATGAAAGCGCTGAACAAGGAGCGCATACAAAAGAATTACTCCCAAAACTGACGGACATTTGTGCACTGTGGAAAGCAACCAAAGTCTCATTTCAAATAACGCAGGTTTTAACGGGTCACGGCTACCACAAGGAATACCTGCATAGATTCAAAATCGCTGCTGATCCCTTCTGCCCTTGTGAAAATACCACTCCTCAAACAATTACTCATTTGTTGAGGGACTGCCCTAGATTTGAGTATAATAGAATAAGACATGAGATACTCTGTAGTAATTTACGTATACCACCATACTATCTGACGAAACTTTTGGATAAGCAAAGTACAACTGAATCCTTCGTTATATTTACCAAATCCATTATAGATAAGCTTAAAAGATTCAATAAATTGTAACTAATAGATATAGACAATGTGTATATATTTTCCACTTAATTTCATATTTTAAGTTAACATATATAATTATTACTCCTCCTTTCTAATTTTATCTTTATTCTTAAGAATAAAATAATATGTAGATTAAGAATTTAGGCTACTTATTTTAAGTTCATTACAAATTGTATATACTCATAGCTATGCACAACTTTATTATTATTATCTTTTATAAGCTAATCGCACTTGAACAATTTTATGATTCACACATTGTTTTTGACTATAAGATATTAATATTAATGATTGCTAACAAATCATAAGCTAAAGACTAAATTATAAGCAATAGATATAAGAATATCCTGTATTTTACTTATATTATTTTGTATTTCTATAGGCAATCCCTTTCATTTAACCTATGTTCATAATATTTATAATTTGCAATTAAGTTATAATGTTTAGAGTATACATACGAACAATAGATCTTGCTTTGTTATTATTAATTTCATTTGGTGTAGAATAAATGTGTAAGTGATAATATGATGAAGATTGATACCTCATCAATGTATCAAATCGTATTGATGTAGCGTTATCTTGTCTTAGAGATTAACAATACATGCAATATAGTTTAAGCAATTTTATGTACCCCACTGTGTAAAACTGTCAATAAATTCCCAACAAGGACGGTATACTCCTTGGTAGAAAATCATAAATTTTTTTATTAAAAAGGTTCTAGAAAAATCTCTGCGTCAGCTTTCAAATGTAATTAAATATATTCGACACTAGATGGTGACACTTTGTGTCATGGGAAGTAAAAATATAAAGTTACGTAGAGCTCAGTATTGGTAAAATAATCATACGAAGGTGTAGACATTTTTTTGCATTCAATCCTAAAGATTTTTTAATCGCCAAAATATTATTTTTATAGTTTTTATAACCATTTTGTGAACATGCCGCCATCTATCGTCAAGGTAGCTAAACTACATTGCAACATCTATATGGAACAATTCGAGTAGTTTTACTATTTATCGGTAGATGTAGATAGTAAAATGGGCGCGGCTTAACATCCCCTCACCCGCAAATTGTCACACCTTGTTACATAGTGAAATCTAATTACAACACCTCCTCTTTGTATTTGTTCTGTGATTGTAATAACCGGCCAAGTGCGAGTCGGACTCGTGCATGAAGGTTTCCGTACCATCATGAAATACGTTTCTAGTAGGGGAGCCCCCTTTAATTATTAATTAATTTTTATTATTTGTTGTTATTGCGGCAACAGAAATACAAATTCTGTTAAAATTTTAACTGTCTACCTATTATGGATCCTGAGAAACAGCCCGCTGACAGACAGACGGACGGACAGCAAAGACTTAGTAATAGGGTCCCGTTGTTTAGCCTTCGGGTACGGAACCCTAAAAATGAGGATGTTTTACAGAAAAATTGTATGAGTATACTCGTATTAGTAAATAACATCACAGTTTCTTGATGCCAAAAACAATTTTAAATAATAAAAACATGCGTGAGTGTCGGTCACTATCACTCGGTTGGAACGAAGATCCTTTCGTAGTATGTATATTATTATAGATAAACGTATTATATTATTGATTAACTAATACAAATAAATATATTAGGTACTAGCGTCTACTAGAATGAAGCGTCATTTAAAATAAAAATAATATTTCTTTCATGGCAAGATAAGAAGAGATGGATATTATTCCAGAAGTCAGAAGGAATCGTGACGGAAAAATCTTACACTTTTACTCGCCTAGCCCCCATCCGCCAAATTCGTACCGTCCGATAAGGAACTTCGTACGAAAATGTAATTCCACATTGAACGGAAAATTAAAGACATTTAGAGGCTATGCAGAATGTAACAAATACAAATTACATGATGTTATAATTTATTAATGATGTTATCAACTACCCAGTTCATACCTATCAAGTCAATATTTCGTATCTAAATTTACATTTACAGCCTATCCGTCGTCTGCCTCCCTATAGACTGCCTCATAAGGTTAGAGGTTATTTGCCATAATTGCAACACTGTGTAGGCGGGTTGGTAACCGCAGTTTTTTATTTTTTAGTTGTTATTAGGAAGACGCTGCCGCCGTTCTTCCTGATTTGTTTCCCTCTATCGCCTTTTACCGACACCCACGGGACAATATGGGGTAGTGGATATTCTAACACCGCCACTACATGGTTCTTAATCTATCAAATTTTAAAATCTAACTTTTCTATGATAACACAAATGTTTTCACAAAAATTAATAGTCACTAAATGGTAAAATAGTTACGAGTATTTATTAATTTATTCACAAATTGCATTACATGACACTTAGTGACTAAACAAAACATGCAAATACCAATCACGTGCACCTCGAACGGCATAGCAATGAACAATGAATGAGTATATAAGTGCCTACCTGTGAAATTGGTGTAACAACCAACGAGTCCATACCGGTCTTCGAATTGTACACCTTCTGCTTCACAAATCCTGGATCCACCACATAGTATATTCCATCTATTGTGAGAGAGGTTTCTGCTATGTTGGTGGCTATCACGACCTTCCTCGACCCAGGCGGTGCCGGTTCAAATATCCTTGTTTGCATCTCGGAAGGCAAAGCAGAGTAAACTGGTAAGATAATGAGTTCAGGTACATCAGGACCTAGAGACTTCATTCGCTCATACAAAATTTCACAAGCGGTGTCAATTTCTTCTTGCCCAGTCAAGAACAGAAGTATGTCTCCCGGAGGTTCCCTTAAGTGAATTTGCATGACTGTGATAAGCGAAGCATCTAGATAATCCGTTTCCGGTTCCTTAGTGTACAGAACTTCTACGGGGAAGGTTCGACCTGGTATAGTGAAGATTGGAGCTTCGAAGAAATATTGCGAGAATTTCACAGCATCTAAGGTCGCCGAGGTAACGATTAGCTTAAGCTCGGGTCTTTTTTGAACTGCTTGTTTTAGGAGACCAAATAGCACATCTGTGTGGATTGTCCTCTCGTGAGCCTCGTCCAACATGATAACCGAGTAACTTTTCAAATCCAAGTCCATCAGACACTCGCGGAGCAACATACCATCTGTCATGTACCTGTTGATAAAAAACAGTAGTTATTTATTTATTAATAAATACATTACATAAAATGCTTTAAATTTATCAACTCTTCAGTCAACTTTATGCAAACAATACTGGTAACTGTAATAAACACAGGGTATAGGGATATTTTAACAACACATGAATTCCAAAATTCCAAAGAGTATGTCTATATTTTCTACCGACTTCAAAAAGGAGGAGGTACTCAACTCGGCTGTGTTTTTTTTTTAATGTGTTGCCTCATAACTTTGTTCTCCGTGAACAGATTTCGATGATTCTTTTTTTTTTGAAAGCTTGTGCATCTCATGTGGTCCCATATAAATTTGATCAAAGTCTGACCAATAGTTTTTGAGTTATCCCTAATAATATATATTGAAGTCGCTTGTACAAAAATTTTAATTTTAAATTATCTTAAGACATGTATATATCCAAGAAAAGTTTATTTAATAATCTACCATTTTTTTTAAATATATAATTGTGAAAATGTCGTTTTAAATTTGGAAGAGTTATATTCTTTAATTAGGAATGATAATTCATTTATTGATGTTGAATGATATATATCTTTCAAATAAAGTCTGTACGATACGCGCGCCACCTACTTTAAGTTAATTGTACTATGCCTATTATAACCTTCGTGGAAGTGCAAGCAATATGTTGACAAAGTTTTACCACAATTTGATGACACGGCAGCGCATAAAATACAAACAAACAATAATTAATTTTTATATATTAGAAGATTGACTTTAAATGAGATTTTCGATGAAAAAAAACTGAGATTTTGAGTGAGATTGCGAGGTTCTATGAGCGTACATGTCATCGTTGGAGCTACATTCCGATGTTATCCCGGACATCAGTCTGAGCGAGATTAGAATGGCGCTCCAGCACCTCAAACAGCAAGTTCCCGGGCGAAGATGGAATTACAGCAGAGCTTCTGACCGCGAGTGGAAAACCGGTAATTGAAGTCTTTCAGAAGTTCTTTAATTCCGTCTTCCGTGGTGGCATTCCTCCGGAGGGGTCGAGCAGAAGTGCGAATGTCTTGTTCTTCAAGAAAGGCGACAACGCTCTCTTGAAGAAAACTATAGACCGATTTCCCTTCTGAGCCGCGTCTACGTGCTGTTTTCAAGAGTCATTGCGAATCGTCTCGCACGCAGACTTGACGACTTTCAGCCTCCCGAACAAGCCAGTTTCCGAAAAGGCGTTAGCGCCAAAGACCACATACATATCCTTCGGCAAATTGTACAGAAGACCGACGAGTACAATCAGCCACTTTGTCTTGCGTATGTGGATTATGAGAAAGCCTTTGGATTTCGTCGAAATTTGGGCGATGCTGCAGTCCCTTCAGCGGTGTCAAATTGACTGTCGGGATATCGAAGTGCTGAAGTGTTTGTACAGTAGGGCTACGATGGCTATCCGAGTACAGAACCAAAGTACGAAACCTATCCAACTGCGAAGAGGTGTAAAACAGGGTGACGTTATATCTACAGCAGCTATTATTAATAGTATAGTTGTAGCACAAATTGGTCGGCACGACCGGGGACGGACCATGCTCTCACAGAAGACCAGCGTAAAATAGCAGCTTAACGCTGCTATGTTTCGTATGGTGTGTAGAGAACGGGAGACCCTTTTTACTGGAAACGAGGCATTCCATATTAGTCCTCACGAGTGACAACGCATCTGCATTTTGATTCGTAATCGAGGATAGATGTAGATGTCTATGGGCCGCAGCCACGCATTTACCCGTCTTGTAGTGCCCGTCTAGTATACCAGGGCGGCTGAAAAGTTCGCGGCCTAGGGTGCTTAACGATGAGTAATTAGATTGTTACTCATGTCACTAGTTGCAACACTCAATAGTATTATAAAAGCAATCACTAATTAAGTTTGTACTCATAGTTCAATTATTTATTGAACAACAAACATCAACATGTCAGCATAATCTGGAAATTCTCGAAATTTTGAACACCACGTCGTGATAAAATACACCGAAAGAAAACAGCGTTTTTTGAAGAGATGTCATCGGTTATTCAGGATTCTGCGCCTTCATATACGATGGTGAAAAAATGGGCCCGCATATTTCAACAAGGACGAGGGAGCTGTGAAGACGACCCTCGCCCGGGTCGCCCTGTCATGGTACTGACCGAAGAAAACGTCCGAAAAAATCGTTCTAGCCGACCGACAAATTTAATTGTAGCAGATTGCTGAAGAACTGCAGATTAGCAAAGAAGGATTTGGAGAAATTTTACATGAACATTTGAATATGAGAAAATATAGCGCGCGCACAAGCAACGACGACTCGCAAGTTGCAAAGATTTTTGGAGCTAATCGGTGATAACAAGGAAGACATTTGGCAACGGATAGTTACCGTAGATGAAACATGGATTCGCCACTATGATCCGGAGTACAAACTGTATGGATAAAAAAAAAGGAGAAAGGCCGCCGAAGAAATTCAAGCTGAAAAAATCGGCATCCAAGCTAATGACGACTGTTTTCTGGGATAGCGAGGGAATTTTGCTTATCGACTACCAACCCAGGGGAACTATGATGAATGGCCAATATTACGCCAATTTATTGACTCAGGTTCGCGAGGCTACATAGGCTGCACTAAAAGTATCGGGAATGGAATATTTCCACTGTTCCTGTCATATTAAAATATTTTTAATTGAAAACTTCTTGGTTTTAAAAATTGAATACCATTTATTTATTTAAAAAAAGATTCTCGGTCTTGTCACAAGGTTTTGTCAAACTTGTTTAGTCGTTGAGAAAATGGAATTGACTCGAGAAAATTTAAGAGCGATGATTTATTATGACTTTCGAAGTGGTTTAACACAAAACCGGATGATTTCTGCATTTGGTGATGAAGCTCCATCTAAAACCACAATTTATCGCTGGTTCGCTGAATTTCAACGTGGACGTGTCAAGCTCAGTGATGATCCCCGTCAAGATCGTCCAAAAACTGCAGTCACCCAAGAAAACGTTGATGCTGTGCGTAAGCTGATTGAGAAAGATCGACATGTGACATACCGCGAAATTCAGGCAACTTTAGACATTGGCATGAGTCAAATACAAATAATCTTGCATGAACAATTAGGTGTGAAAAAGTTGTTTTCCCGATGTATACGGCATTCGCTCTGTGAAGAGCAAAAAGCGGCTCGCGTTACTTGGTGCGTCAGAAGATTCCACGCAGGATCCTCAAATGCTGTATACAACATCGTATCAGGTGACGAATCCTGGATATACGCGTACGAACCCGAAACAAAAAACCAGTCACGAGTTTGGGTGTTCGAAAATTAGTTAAAGCCAACAAAAATTGTTCGTTCACGGAGTGTTGCAAAAAAAATGGTGGCCACGTTTGTCCCCAAAACCGGCCATGTTACGACTATTCCTCTTGAGGGACAAAGAACGGTTAATGCAGAATGGTATGCTAGCATTTGTTTGCCACAGGTCGTTTCTGAACTCCGTAAAGAGAACTGCAACCGCCGCATCATCCTCCATCACGACAATGCGAGTTCTCACACCGCACACAGAACAAAAGAGTTTTTAGAGCAAGAAAACATAGAATTATTAGACCATCCGCCGTACAGCCCCGACCTAAGCCCTAATGATTTCTATACTTTCCCTAAAATAAAGAATAAATTGCGTGGACAGAGATTTTCATCACCTGAAGAAGCTGTGGACGCCTACAAAACGGCCATTTTGGAGACCCCAACTTCCGAATGGAATGGTTGCTTCAATGATTGGTTCCATCGTATGGAAAAATGTGTCAAATTTCTCGGAGAATACTTCGAAAAGCAATAAATACATTTTTAAATAGTAATGTTGTGTCACTTCCTTGATTCCCGAAATTTTCAGTGCCGCCCTCGTATTGTACAGAAACGAAGTGAGAAACTGATCTTTCTGCAAGACAATGCACCCGTTCACATCGCACATGTTACGAGGCAAGCCCTGAAAGAAACGGGGTTCACAGAGATTTACCACCCTCCGTATAGCCCAGACCTAGTACCTAGCGATTTTGTCCTGTTTTCCAATTTGAAAAAGTACTTACGGGGCCGGAGATTTTCAGATGACAATGAAATGAAAGCTGCGGTTGATCGTCATTTTGAAGAGATAAATACAGAATATTTTATGGGTGGGTTAAAGGCATTGTACGCGAGATTTGAGAAATGTATTTCACTTGAGGGCGATTATATTGAAAAATAAAAAATATAAACCATATATTTTCTTTCATGAAGTACATTAGGCCGCGGACTTATCAGCCGCCCATCGTACATAGAAGTATTTAGCAATAGCATATTATGCATGCTAAATTTTGTTGATGGTATCTCTATGGACCTCTCACAAGTAACCATCAAAAGTGTACTTTTTCAATTCAAAACAAATTATGCCATAAATATATATTAATAATTTATAATATATGTAACAAGCAGGTTCCGTTAACTTGCGTTATTAGTTTATTTCAATTTTATTTACGCGTCATACCGACTCCGATTGGCGTATACCCGTGGCTACAATATTTAAGTCAATCACAAGTGGCGTAGCCGTGACGCGCGTCTTCGCAGCACAGCTGGTTCTGACGCGCGCGCCATCTCCAATAGTACTAAATTTGCATTGTGTCGTGTCCGCCATTACGTGTTAACTTAGACTATGATTCTATTTACAGTGAGACCACTGTAAGGTGTGGCGTCAATTCAGTACTGCGAAGCCGTTCCTTTTTAGTTTGCTATACTGGTTACTGTTTAAAACGGAACGCAGTTCAGTATACTGACATCTCCATTTTTCCGCACTGTTTTCAAATGAAAATATTTATCATGTACACGTTTTTTTTTATACAATAAGGGTGACAAAGAGCACACAGTCCACCTAATGGTAAGTGGTTTTTGTGGCCCATAGACATCTACAACTATCTTCGTTTGCGAATTAAAATGCAGATGTGTTGTCAGCCGTGAGGACTAAGATAAAATATCTCTTTTCCAGTAAAAAGGGTGTCCGCTTTTCTATACTCACCATACGTAACACAGCAGCATTAAGTCGTTATTTTACGCTGGTATTCTGTGAGAGCGTGGTCTTTCCTCGGTCGAGCCAACCCATTTTTGCTACAACTATACTATTAATATAGTTGCAGCATGGCTCTATCGCATAAAAACGTTTTCTGTTCAATAAGAAAAATTATTATTTTAATGTTGTTGACTTTAAAATTTAATGTTCGATTTTATTTGTATAACAATATTAATCATCATCATCATTATTACAGTCTTTCATAAGTCCACTGCTGAACATAGGCTTTCCCCAAGTTATGCCACAAAACACGGTTCCGAGTCAATAACAATATTAATTAATAATAATAACAATTTTTCGTGGAAGCTGTTAAATCTCTAGGCGTTGTAATGTTTTTTGATCACGTGATCGAAGTACTGAGAGCACCTTAGCTCGATGGTATGGAGTGTAGAGTAGAAGGAGGACCATCTCTGTATATGAAAAGTGTCCCTAAAAACGTGTCCAATAAGGGTGGCGCTGCAGTAGCATAGGATAAATTAAAAAAAAAGCGCCACAATTAATTAGAATAAGATGAAAAAATAAACAAGGACCGACCAATCCGCTTGGTTTTGTACTACGTAAATAGTTGAGGTTTTGTATACTGGCATTTTACTAACTACTCTAATCATGAATTTTTTTAAATATTCGAATTCAGCTGACTTCACTCCGTCTACAACAGCTATGTTCATATCGTAGTTTTTCAGACGCCAGCGCTATTGTGGTAGGTTTTGGAACCTCTATTTTCAGTATATAGTGGGACACTTTTTCAACCTTCGCACCTTATAAGATGGTTCTCCTTCTACTCTACACTCCATACTCGATGGCGCCAGTGCTCACAGTACAAAAATGGCGGCTGTTAATGACGTCATATATTTCCTAGCGTACTGCGGCAGTATACTGGCAGTCTATAACGGTACGAATTATTCACCACCGAGCAGTGTTCGCAGAATATATCGGAACATACCTTATATTTTGTAAAACTGTTGTCGAGGATGTTTGGAAATTGTAGAAGCAATATATTATCACTGATCAAGCTTGTGAGGTTTTATTTAGCACATGTTAGTCGAGTATAAAGTCTTAAATATATTAATATTAACGCTAAATCATCATATAAATTAGTGATTTAAATACTAGTTTTTATATATTTATATAGGACAGTAGGGTAGTGTGTGTATAGTAGTGTAGATGATGTGTAGTGGTGTTCGAGCAGTGGGACTGACTTGATGATGGTCTCGGGGCTGGTGCAGTCCTCGAAGCGGATGGTGTAGCCGACCTCCTGGCCCAGGCGGCAGCCGAACTCCTCGGCGACGCGCTTGGCGACGGACATGGCGGCCACGCGGCGCGGCTGCGTGCACGCCACCTTGCCGCGCGCCGCCAGCCCGCTGCCCGCCACGTACTGCGTCATCTGCGTCGTCTTGCCCGACCCCGTCTCCCCGATCACGATCAGGATCTGGTTGTCCGCCACCGCCTGCACAACAACCAACACTATAATGTATAATCATTCCTTATATTTATGCAAACACTACACATTGAATAAAACTAGACGGAAACTCTCGTCGGGGGCGACCTAACGGCCGAGGGTTGAGAGGAAAAGGACCGAAACCGGCGACGATGCGGGCGGCATCGAGGAGCACCACCTTTTACATTTGAACCCGAAGTGGTCTGTCACGGAGTCCCTGTCGCTTCAGATGACCCGAGTCTGACCAGGATTAGCCCGAATGCAGAAACAAATACAGGAATCATTTTGCTTGGCAGACCACCCCACATGTCGGTCGCCTTGTGCACCAGGTCCAGATATTTTTTTTGCTTCTCTGATTCGGCTTTCACGAGGTTCTTGTCATACGGAATGGTAATATCGAGCAAAAATATCCTTGACTGTGCCCGACCCATCAGTACAATGCCAGACTTATTCGCAAGAATAGTCCTGTGATGATGGCCCGTTCCCTGTAGTCTGGCTCGGTCATTTTCGAACACGGCTTCCGACAAGTACTTATAATAAGGCAATTTTCGATCCACGAGACCATATTTCAGCACGAGCTCCTGGTGTAGAATACTGGCTACTAGGTAGTGCCTGTGCAAGAAAATTACATGCCTAAGTGACTCACCGGGATGGCGACCTCGACAGATGTCGACGATGCCATCCTTTAGGATGTATCTACGATAGATTCTTGGTCTTAATGACCTGATCCTGTATTGCACAGACAAAACCCTCGGTTTAGCAGAAGAGTTCACCAAAACATAGCAAGTGGAGGGAGGCAACTGTGTCTACGAAAGGCCATTAAAGGAAAATGAAGAGCCTTGTAGAACCTACCGTAGAGCTCCTTTTCCTTCCATACAGTCGGAAATGCTCTCTAATGCCGGATCTCGCCATTGCTCGTTGGCTAAGGATAAAGCGGTAAGTCCTTTATCATAAGAAATGACGTCCTTATAGAATGAATCATCCGATCTCGTCAGGAAGTAATGGCGGAGGCTGCACACATAGCGACTATACATAACCCACAAATGAAGCCACGCCCACCATGCTTCGGCGACAAGTACAGCCTCATTACTGACGACCTCGGATGGTGCATCCTACGGGACGTCATGGTAGTACCAACTTTTCTATCCACGGCATTAAAGTATACATGAGGACAGGCATGACCCAACCGTTATATGTGTGTGTCTTATTCAACCCGACAAAAGGTTCAACGGAGACTAGTAATCGGCGCAGGACAGGATTATAGTGCTCAAGTTTATGCGCAAGCACAGTTGCACTCTCTATACACTCACCGCATAGTTTGATGGTACGGTAAACCGACAGAACAGGAGAGAAACCAGGCGTAGGGCCAAAGGCTTTACGTGTTTTCTGAGGCAGGGGGGCTTAATATCGCCAACTTCCCACCTGCAGGCTGCTACTGAGAATGTCTTGACAAACAAACGCGATAACTGATTTTTTTGGCCCGACCTCATGAGAAATAAAAGAAAAAACCTGCCAATATCACTAATATAACTCCGTCTATTAGGACTTTTTTATTTAAAATTAGTCTTCGAAAAGCACTTTTTGAAGAACAGTTTAAGGAAGTAAAGTTACTAACAGAAAATAATTCTTACCTTTATCAATTCATCCTTCAATTTGTAAATAGGTAACGACTGTCTCTGCTCCAACAATGACAGGTTGGTCTTTTTACCAAAAGATGATTTTTTCCCTCCAATAACATGTTTCTTCCACTCGGGAAGATCTTGTGGCGTTATTCCCGATCCCCTCATGTTAGCTGCCAGGGTTCTTCCATCAGATTCTGGAAGCGGATCTATCCAGTTTTTGTTTAGTCCAGTAGGCAAACTCTCCATTTCTTGTTCTCTTTGCAGCATCTTTTGTTCTCTCCTTTCTTTAGCCAGAGCTGATTGCATCATTGCGGCTTGGGCAAGTGAACCATCAGGATTCTTCACGATTCTCACTGGGGAGAGATCATGGAGCGCTCGACCATGGCCTTGAAGGAATGGAGGTTCATCTTCAACCAATTCTATCTCTATATCCGCTTCGCCGTCTTCATCTTTTGGTAGTAGACCAGTTTCTTCATCGAAATCTGGCAATTCACTCTTGTCAATTACACCAGATGATATCATCTGTGAAATAATAATTAAGTTGTAATTTAGTGTTATAATCACAACATTGAACAAATGCAATATTAAGTCTTGAGTAAGTTTTACTAGGGCTCCTTTTCATCTTAGGAGGGTACAAATCGCGGCACGTAAGTCTAGCGCTGAGCGAAACGTTGAAGGGACGCGGACGAATTGAATTGCACGAATGCGACTGGAGTAATCAGCGCGTGCAAACGATACGCACGAGCCAATCAGTGCGACTTATGCGCAATAAGCCAATCAGCGCGACTTAAGCACAATAAAGGTCACCGCTAGACTTTCGTGCCGCTACTTATACCACCCTTTTACCTATTTCTGCCGCCAAATAGCAGTGGCTGCACGGCTACGTTTCGGTTTGAAGGGTATATGGGCTCCAGTATAGTTACACGCTGTGAGGTATTCCATCTTAGCCCTCAGAAGTGACAACCTATCTGTAGCTTTCTTTGTTTCGAGTTGGTTGTAGATGTCCAGGGTCTGCAGTAGCAAATTATCATCAGGTGGACTGTAAGTTTGTTTGTCACTTGAACATTTGTATTTATATGTATGTATAGATAATACCTACTTGTTTTATTTCCCATCGTTCCGGACTAGAGATCCTTGTGACACGCTTACGGCTAGAGTCTTCGTCAGGATCAAGATTTCCTTGCAGACCCGCCAGTACTGTAGCAGCCGGAGCCGGTCGGTCAGGATTACGGCCTTCGCGTTCAGCCTGGCGAGACGTAATCGTAACTTTATGCTCCTGAAGCTTTGTGTTAGCTCTTAAACATGGCGAATCTCGAGAGCAGTTGATTTTTAAATTTAAATACTTCAAAACAAAACTTATAAAATTCAGCAATGAAAAAGCAAGACCAAGATATGTGACGCTACTAAAAGTAGCCAATTAAAATTGTTTCCACCAATAACATAAATGTGAACGGTGGGTGTGAAAGGTAAATAAAATGAGATATGATTTAAATTTATTAATGAATAACTTTTCATGTAATAATAATTTAAACTTGACGTTTAATTGTTATAATTATAATAATAGAATTAATTTAATAGACACAAATAATTTAATTAAGTAATTTTTGACTAGAGATGGGTATTACCTATCCAAATATAATTTAAGACAGATAGCGAATGTGCTATCTTATTGTTTATATATTAACTCAGCCAAGGACTTTGCTACACAGATATCTGCTTCTATTGAGCAGTGTAATGACTTTACATTGAATTTAGAATCAGTTTCAAGTCATTTAAATTAGAAAATGAGACAATAAGAGTTAATCTCTAGCAGTTATAGTAATTTAGAATGTAGCTTACAAATCTTTAATTGTATGACTCCACAGAGTAATAATAAAAATTGTTTACACCTGGTGCATCAAAATATACAAGGTATGATAGGCAAAGAGCTAGAAATTGAATTGTTTTTAAATAGCAACAATATTCATATTTTATGTATTAATCTTACATAAATACATTAAAGTTATAAGTACTTTAACTTATATACTTATAAGCTTAAACATTAAGCTTATAACTCAATGTTTAACTTCAGTAATCACCAAGTGGTCAGTTCTTTAATAGAGAAACGGTTTTAAGAGGTGGGTCCTTAATATTACCTAGTAAATTATTATCATGTAAAGAACGTAAAGACATTGTGAGCCTCTCTGTTGAGCGAACTGTAGAAATGGCATGTGTTGAGTTTGAGCACTTCGTTGTTGTGAGCGTCTACAGACCCCCATGTTCTATATACGATAATTTGACTATTATAAAGAGGAAAGATTTGTTTGTTTGAATTGAATAGGCTCCGAAACTACAGGACCGATTTGAAAAATTCTTTCACCATTAGAATCCTACATTATCCTTTATGAACATAGGCTATATAATATTTTCAAAAAAGTTAAGGATCCGTATGAAAAATTCGTTAATGTAACCCAAGGTGTGAAAAAATACCAAAAAGAATCCTTATATCGCGTACGTTGCGGAAACTGTTGATAATAGAGCAAAGTAATGTACTTCAGTTTTATAGAGGATATCAATATCTACAAAAAAGTCTGCGATACCGTATGTTTAACTATTAAAGTTATGTCACAATAACTACTTTTTCATGTTCAAATGTGAAATAATAACGACGGTACAAACTAGGCCACATTATTCGTATCAGTACCTGTATCATGCATAACCACCAATTACGTTAACCATGTAACTTTAGTAACATATTTCACTTTTTAAATCTTTGTCAATTCAGGAACCGTCCGTCGTGATGTCTCTTTCGAAGTTCGCATGTCGCAAGGCGCAGACGCGTGATATACGCGGGTGAAACCGCGGGGCACAGCTAGTATACGATAATTTGAAAAATTATTATTATTATATGATTTTTACCAAGAAAGGTCATATAATCCCAGCGTCGAATTTAGGGAATATGTAAAAAAATATACAAAAATATTTAAAAGAGTGTGCTCCACAGCCAAGTCTTTGCATTTGAGCAACAAAATTAAGACGGCTTCTAACAAAATTAAAATGACGTGGAGTATAATTAATAACGAAACTCGTAAGATGAAACTACCAGTTAAGTGTTAGTAACAAATTAACCGAATCAGATCAAGACGTTGAAATGGTTTTTGAGAAATATTTTACTGATATTCCGATATTAACCACTAAGTCACTGAATTCTTCTCCTGCCGTCGTCGAATCATTACTTAAACAAAATGTAAATGCGAGTACAAATAATTTCATAAAGTATCATCAAAAGATATTATAAAATAAAATATTTTGTAAAATAAAATAAACAATTGATATTAAAAAAATTTCAATTCAAAAATTTTAACGGTGGTAGAGCCCCGCAGCAGTTTTTTTGCTGTTGCACGTATGGGCAGGCTCGAGCCGGGTTGGTACCACGACCTCACAGAATACCGGCGTGAAGTAGAGGCTCTGCTTCTGCGTTTCGTCTGGTGAGTGCAGGTGGCCGGAGGCCCAATTCCCCCCCCCCCCCCCCCCCATCAACATGGTAGCGGAATTACAAAGTAGACTACCCCAGGAGGGTACCAGTACCCCTGGAGAATCCCTCGCTGAGCATCCACGACCATGTTATTCCAATCCTGAGCGTGGGTGCTCAGGCTGCCCCGCGTATTCTGGGGGGGGCAAAATTCCGCTCAAAAACAAAACTGCTTGGGGCAAACTGAGCAACAATACCAAGGCGACCCCTGCCACGCTATCCGTGAATTTCTGCAACATCAGGGGACTTCACTCTAACCTAAACGCCGTCCACTACCATCTCGAGACGGCGAAGCCGGCCTTGCTCTTTCTGACCGAGACGCAGGTTTCCTCTCCGGCTGATATTTCGTATCTCTCCTGCCCGGGGTACAAATTGGAGCACTCCTTTGTGCCTCGGGCTGGAGTTTGCGTGTATGTCAGAGAGGACATCTGTTCTCGACGCCTCGGCAGTCTTGAAGGTTCGGACCTGTCCATCCTTTGGCTACGCGTAGACAGCGACGACCATCCGCGCGTCTACGGGTGCCTCTATAGGTCCCATAGCGGTAATGCCGAAACAGACCGACTCATCGACCACGTCCAAATGGCTACAGATTCCTTGCTACAACAGGTCCCATCCGCAGAGATCGTGATCCTTGGCGATTTTAACGCCCACCATGCCGAATGGCTCGGTTCACGTTTAACCGATCATGCGGGGAGATCTGTTTATGACTTTGCTTTGGCATATGGTCTGACACAACTGGTTACTTCGCCTACACGGATTCCAGATGTGGAGGATCATACACCTTCCCTGTTGGACCTTCTGCTGACCTCTCATCCGGACGGATATCAGGTTTCCGTCGATGCCCCTCTCGGCTCTTCGGACCATTGTCTGATCCGGAGTATGGTGCCACTCACGCTCCCTTCGCGGTTGCGTTCTGCAGGTTGCCGCCGTGTTTGGCATTACAGGTCGGCGGATTGGGACGGAATGCGGTCTTTCTTTGCATCCTACCCATGGGGGCGTGTTTGCTTCTCGCCGGATGATCCCAGCGCTGTTGCTGACTCTGTCACTGATGTGGTGCTACAGGGAATGGAACTATTTATTCCATCATCTGTGGTACCCATTGGAGGCAGATCTCAGCCTTGGTTTGGTCGCTCCTGTAAGACTGCATTGCGCAGAAAGCAGGAGTGTTATCAAGCCTGGGCTGCGGCTTCGGTGACTCGGGATGTAAACACCAGCACACTTAAAAAGAAGTATAACTTCGCCTCCAGCTCCTTCAAAAGAGTTATTGCCAAGGCAAAGTCTGAGCACATAGGCAGAATTGGCGAGAAACTAGTTCGCCTTCCTTCGGGAACCCGTGCATTCTGGTCTCTCGCCAAGGCTGTCCAAGGGAATTTCTGTAAGCCATCACTACCATCTCTGCACAGGGAGGACGACTCACTGGCCCACGACGCAAAAGAGAAGGCCGACCTTTTAGGCTCCCTTTTTGCGTCCAACTCGACTGTTGATGACGGGGGGAACACACCGCCGACCATCCCGCGGTGTGAGTGCTCTATGCCGGATGTGCTATTCTCACAGCGCTCGGTTCGCAGAGCACTCCTCTCCCTTGACATCCACAAGTCGAGTGGGCCTGACGGAATCCCCCCAATTGTGCTGAGGACGTGTGCTCCGGAGTTGGCACCGGTTCTAACGCGTCTTTTCCGGTACTCCTACTCCCATGGCGTTGTCCCGAACTCATGGAAGACAGCTTTTGTCCACCCGATCCCTAAAAAAGGCGACCGCTCAGACCCGTCCAACTATAGGCCTATCGCGATCACCTCCTTGTTCTCCAAAATAATGGAATCCATTATTAACTGCCAGCTCATCCGGTACCTTGAGGATCACCAGCTGATCAGTGACCGCCAATACGGTTTTCGTCGGGGTCGATCAGCTGGTGATCTTCTAGTCTACCTGACCCATAGATGGGCGGAGGCAGTAGAGTCCAAGGGGGAGGCGTTGGCCGTTAGTCTGGACATTGCGAAGGCCTTCGATCGGGTTTGGCACAAAGCGCTTCTTTCGAAGCTCCCTTCCTATGGGCTTCCCGAGAAATTGTGCAATTGGATCACCAGCTTCCTTGCAGATCGGAGCATCAAGGTCGTTGTAGACGGTGCATGTTCTGACTACAAGCCTATTAACGCTGGTGTTCCACAAGGCTGTGTGCTATCACCAACGCTGTTTCTTCTGCATATCAATGATATGTTGCTAACTGGTAACATTCATTGCTATGCGGATGACAGCACTGGTGATGCTCTATACACCGGCCGGGCCAATATTTCTCGGGAAAACGTCGCCGAGTACCGGAACAAACTTGTGTCTGAAGTCGAGTCTTTGCTGGACAAAGTCTCGGATTGGGGGCGACTATATCTAGTCCAGTTTAATCCTCAGAAGACACAAGTTTGCGCGTTTACCGCTAAAAAGAACCCCTTTGTCGTATCTCCTCAGTTTCAAGGCACTCCCCTTCTTGCCTCAGCCAGTATCGGTATCCTCGGAGTCGACATATCGAGTGACGTGCAGTTTCGTGGTCACTTGGAAGAGAAGGCCAAATTGGCCTCTAAAAAGCTTGGCGTGCTCAGCAGAGCGGGACAGTATTTCATGCCGGCACACCGCCTGCAACTTTACAAGGCGCAGGTTCGGCCTCACATGGAATACTGTTCCCATCTCTGGGCAGGGGCTCCCCAGTGCCAGCTCCTTCCACTTGACCGCATCCAGCGCAGAGCGGCTCGAATCGTCGACGACCGAGCCCTTTCCGATCGGCTCGATTCATTGGCACTGCGAAGAGATGTTGCATCTCTTTGCATTTTCTTTCGCATCTACCATGGGGAGTGCTCTGAGGAATTGTTCGGATTAATCCCAGCCGCCAAATTTCACGAACGCACATCGCGGCAGAACTCCCGATACCATCCACACCATCTGGATGATTGGCGGTCCACCACTGTGCGATTTAGAAGATGTTTTCTTCCTCGCACGACTTCCTTGTGGAATCGATTACCATCAGCGATTTTTCCGGACCGATACGACTTAGGGACCTTCAAGAAAAGAGCCTACTCCTTTTTAAAAGGCCGGCAACGCATCTGCAATTCCCCTGGTGTTGCGGTTGTTCATGGGCGGCGGTAGTCACTTACCATCAGGTGAGCCGCATGCTCGTTTGCCCCCTCTCCTATAAAAAAAAAAAAAAAAAAAAAAAAAAAAAAAAAAACTGCAAATTTGTGGGGGATTTCCGTAAAAGTTATTGCGTCTATAATAGATACAATCGCGCCCCATCTAGCTATTATTTTTAATATTAGTATCGAATCTGGTCTGTTTCCTGATTTAACAAAGCATAGTAAAGTAATACCTTTACTTAAATCTGGTAGTACATTAGACCCTGCCAATCATAGACCTATTTCTGTACTACCAACACTCAGTAAGATTTTAGAAAAAATTATTCTTGATCAAATGTTAAATTTCTTTAATATAAATAATTTACTTCATAAAAATCAATTTGGTTTCACAAAGAGTTGCTCGACAACTGATGCCGGTGTTGCGCTGATTAAATATATCTTTAATGCATGGGAGAATTCACAGGATCCTTTGGGTATATTCTGTGACCTATCCAAGGCCTTCGATTGTATTCACCATGTAACAATTATAAGGAAACTTCAACACTACGGTGTAATGAGTAATGCTCTTAAATTAATTGTTTCATATTTAAGTAACAGAACGCAAAAAGTTGTCATTAATAATATGAGCTCTTCCGGGTCGATGGTACAAATAAATGGGCGTGCCTCAAGGCTCAATTCTCGGCCCCTTTCTGTTTCTTGTATACATTAATGACTTACATAGTAAGGGATAACCATGATATAGTATTATTTGCTGATCACACTTCTTTAATTTTCAAATTAAGACGACAATTACTAAAATATGACGAAGTAAATAATGCTATATCTAAATTAGTAAATTAGATCAATGTTAATAATATGCATTTAAATGGCACTAAAACGAAATGTATGAAATTCATGACTGTCAGTCAAACAATTTAGTAATTTTAAATGAGGAGGAACTGAGTTTTGTCGATACCACAAAACTTGACCTGCTCAAAGTTCAAAAACTTTATTAAACTAAGTTTGTATAAAAAGGGTTTTTATAATATTAAGGAATTTATGGATGATAATAACCCCAGGGAATGAGGTGATCGCTACCAAGCTATTTCTAATTTGTTTTGTGTTATTAATTGTGTAACATACATGATTGTAAGCTGTTATTAAAAAAAAAGTCCCGCTGGGTTTCTTGCTGGTTCTTCCCAGGACAGAGGTTTTTTTTATCGAACCAGTGGTAATCAAACAAAAGAGTGACTTTCAATAACTATTACTTATATATAATCTATATTGAATGAAAAAGTTTCTGTTTCTGTTTGGAAAAGGTGGTCAAGTTTGAAACAAACCACGTTCCAGGTCGTCGGTTTCGCTGATAAGAGTCGCGGTCTGAATGGGCGCTAACACCCGAAAGTATAGTGCTGGGTACAATTCTCTTTCAATTTTAAGTGGTTCTGGAGTAAAAAATATGTCATACTTCTCTTGACATGTGATAAACCAGTACTTTTTATCGTAATTTACAATTTGAGTGTTGCTAACTGATATCGAAATCACATATTATGAAATGTTTAAAAATGCATTATTTTAAAATAAGGCTATTATATGTTACCTCTAAGTGTGCATGAGATGTTGGATTCAGATCTTTTCCAGTCTCTTGACAAACGTCTTTTATAGTAAGGGAAACCTTTTGTCCAGTCACTGATATCACTTTAACCTGAAATAAGACATATTTTCGTATCTATCAATATAAATATACATATTTTAACAGTACGCTTTAATAAATCAAGTTCACTTCAAAAGAATTCAAAAACGAGGAGGTTTACAATTCGTCGGATATTTTTTTTTTAAAAAAACGTTACCCCCACACTAGGAATTTCTCCTGTGTCGTGGAGGCAGTTTACAAACATAAATTGCACAAGGACAAACATCCAGACACGGTACAATTATTTGTAGGCCATACAAATACTTGGTCCGTGCGGGATTCGAACCCGCGGCCCCCAGCGCAACAACTGATTGCTAAGCCACTGCGCCACGGAGCCGTCAATATATATGTTCATCGATTACTCGAAGACGCTTGAACCGATTTGGAAAATTCGTTTTTGTTTCAAAGGTGGTTACTTCCCAGGTGGTCTCATTTAAATTTTATCGAAATCGGTCGAGCAGTTCAAAAAAGTTCAGTTAAAAAATCAACAATAAAATATTTATATTGAAGTTGGTTGTACAAAATTTTAATTTTACCACTTGTAACTACAGAACAACAGAACATAGGCCTCTCTGTAGATTGCCTTACATAGGCGCCATAGTTGCCATGGCAGGCGGGTTGACAACAACAGTTTTTTATTATTTGAGAGGAAGACGCTGCTGCTCATTTCCAGTTTCAGGTTTTCAGGTTTCCTTTAGTTGCTTCTTACGACACCTACGCTATGATATGGCGTAGTGGATATTCTTACATCGTCACTACATGGCAAACCATTTTTAACAGATATAAAATTGATCATAGGAAGATACTAGCAAATATATTTTGTACCCACATGTAAAAACAACATACCTTAACTTTATCACCTCTGGAGACAACATCAGACACATTGGTAACTCTTCCCTCAGTACGTAGTTGGGAGATGTGAACTAATCCTTCCCATCTCTTCCTCAAACCCTCAATTTGTACGAAACAACCAAATGGCACTATATTTGCTACTCGACCATTATATATCTGAAAAAAGTAAAGTACTTTTAAAAACACCTTTTAGTCCTCACGGGTGACAACGCATCTGCATTTTGTTTATTAATCGAGGATAAATCTAGATGTCTATGGGTCACAGCAACCACTTACCATCAGGTGGACTGTGTGCTCATTTGTCACCCTATACTATAGAAAAAAAAAACACTACAGAGCACAAGCTCTTTAACAACAAGCAACATTTTATAACTATTCTCATGGAGTTGACCACCTGTAGCAAGTGAAAGTAAAAATATGCATAAAAATAAAAATGATAATTTAATTTAACACACTATGCTTTGGGGTTTTTTACTCACGTGCTATGAGCATATACTGAAATAAATTATACAGGATTTATTTGACAAAAATTAATTATTCAATATATCTTCAATCTAATATTATGATCTAGGCTATAAATCTAATACAAAGCAGTATACCTGGACTAGTAAAAATTACGACACATTTATTCCATCAGACACATTGTATTTTTTTTATAGGATAGGGTGACAAACGAGCACACAGTCCACCTGATGGTAAGTTGTTGCTGTGGCCCACAGACATCTACATCTATCCTCGTTTGATAATCAAAATGAAGATGCATTTTCACCCGTGAGGTCCAAGATGGAATGCCTCTCTTCCAGTAAAAAGGGTCTCCGGTTCTCTACACTCACCATACGAAATACAGCAGTGTTAAGCTACTATTTTACGCTGGTATTCTGGGAGAGCGTGGTCCTTCCCCGGTCAAGCCGAACCATTTGTGATACAACTACACTACTAATATAGCTGCAGCATGGCTCTACCATGTATAAATTCCTCAAAACTGTACAACCAATGCATTGATTGAAAGAAACAACTATTGATGACCTGTGGAACCGAAACAAGGCTTTACACTGAAGAATAACTTTACAATATGAGGAAGCTTAAGGTCACAAAGCAAGCTATGGAGAGAGCCAAATAAATTGGTTTTATAGTCTTTGGTGACTATAAATCCAATGTTGTTATATTCACCTATGGTTGAAATTCTATGTATGATAGAATTCATAATGATAGATATCTGGAGTAGAACTAGGGTAAATTGAGAAGGAAGGTTTTCGAGTGGCAGCCTAGTACTCGTAAACAGAGTTTAGGGTGGCCCTCCACTACATACAGGTAGACAATGGATGTAGGATGCTCAGGATCATATTTTGTGGAATTCCTGGGGGAGATCTTTATTCAGCAGCAGACTGGTGAAAGGCTATACTCATGATAACACCATGAAAACTCGATGTGGAACCAGTTAACAATTTTTAAAATTGAAAAAGTTTAACTGATCCCTGGTTCAGTTACACACTCTACCAAGTGATGTCTTAAACAAATGTCGTATTTAAATGATTGTTAAGTACATACTTTTCCTGGCTCTGGATCATCACTCATTTCTACCTCAGGACTTCTTTTCCGTGATTTTTTCTCAAAGTCTCTAAATTTGTCTTTTCCTTCTCTCTCCCTGGAATGTGACCTAGATCTTGACCGTCTACCTCTGGACCTGGACCTCCGCCCTCTAGATCTTGATCTTCTTCCTCTGGATCTGGATCTCCTGTGTCTGTCCCTAGATCTTGATCTGTAACGATGACGGCTTCTAGAACGCCTTCTCTTATCTCTATCACGATCCCGACTTCTATTCCTACGTTCTGGTGTTTTGCTCCTTTTATCCCTGCTTTTACTACGTCTTCTATGCCTTTCTCTAGACCTATCTCTTTTAACCTTAGTATCATTTTGATCTTTATTTTGTATATCTTTTTTCTCTTCTTTTTTTAAACCAATATTTGAAGGTGCCAATGCCTCCAACTCTGCCATTGCTTGCTGGACAACATCACTACCTGATTCTTTTGCTTTTGATTCTTCTTTAAATAAGTCTTTTGAAGTTATTCTCTTTGTCTTTTTTTCATCCTCTTCACTGCTTTCATCAGATGAAAATGTGGGAGGTTTTTCATTAGGAATAGCTAATCCAGGAAATTTCAATGCTAAAGGGTTAGAATTCGTAGTGCCTTTTTCATTATTTTCAGCAGACAAACTAATTGGTTTCATATGCTGTATTATACGCAGCAAATTTGTCATAAAGGAGTCTGAAAACTCTGCTCCATTTTCAATAAGTGCTTTCTTGAAAGCTTCAAATGTTGGGTTTTTGTCTGCTAAATCAATAATAAATTCAGCTGAAATCAAATTAAACCATCATTATTACTCTTTTGAAATATAAAACCATTTTAAAATATAAATGGAGTTTATAATATAAATATATAATAAAAACCTAGTGTATAAATCAACAATTCATATGAAGATTTGGTATTAATATTAATATATTTTAAATTATTAATATTTTTGGTACAATTTGTTATCAATTGAAAAAATAAAGTTTTGTTGGTTACTTGATTACAGAGGCTGAGATACCATCATTATATTTTTAACATGCATACTTTGCTAATGCAGAATAGTTATAAAAACGAAAGGTAACATCAAAGTGTTCAGAAAGTGTTCAAAAATATGATAATGATTGTTCTCTACAATCATTATCATATTTAATAAGATAATAAAAATACTGTCACCTAATTTGTAAGGCCAAAATGCAAAATAACTGAAACTAATTTTATTAAGCCGTGGTATTTCAGATGGTTAGCGCTCGCTGTAAGCTTCACAGTACTCGAGCAACCCGGGTTCGATCCCCGCCGGCACCAATGAAATTGTTAAATGCAATTTTAAGTGCTGATTTACCACGTGCTCGGCGGTGAAGGAAAACATCGTGAGGAAACCTGCATGTCTGAGATATAAGAAAAAAAATATTTCGAAGACATGTGAAGTTCGCCAACACGCAACATTGGGGCAGCGCGGTGGACATTTCCTTGCCCTAAAACCCTCTCAGTAATGAGAGGAGGCCTGTGCCAGCAGTGGGACGTAAATAGGCTGCAACTTTACTTTACTTTACTTTTAATTTTATTAATAATGATTTATTTTTAGGCTACATTTCAAGATATCTATGACATCATAAATAGTAAAACGCTAATGTTACTTCTTACATCTAAAAACTATAAAAAATAGAAACATCAACAAATGTTATAATCCTAATTTTCAAGAAACACAAAAAATTAGAAATCTTCCCCAAAAATGTGACACATCATGGGATTTTAATATGCCCAATTTCGACATTACCCGTACTTTTCACTGCAAAGCTAATATGCATTCCCCATGAAAAAAGGTACAGACTATAAATGTTAGGCTACCAGATATATATTAAAAATGTGCAAAAACATAAAACAGGGATGATGATGAATATCTGCATGCAAGCTATGCATATAAATAATGACACTTGGCACTTCTAAGCTTCTAACAAAAACTTTTAACAGTGGTAGAGCTAAGCGGTAGCTTTTGCTGTCGCACGGATGGGCCAGCTCGAACCGGGGTGGTACCACGACCTCACAGAATACCAGTGTGAAGTAGAGGTTTACCTCTGCGTTGCGCTTGGTGAGTGAAGATGGCCGGAGGCCCAATCCCCCCCCCCCCCCCCCCAACAACATGGTAGTGGAATTAAATAAAAGACTACTCCAGGAGGGTACCAGCACCCCTGGAGAGTCCCTCGCTGAGCATCCACGACCAAACTACTTCACTCCTGAGCGTGGGTGCTCAGGCTGCCCCGCGTATTCTGGGGGGGGGGAATTCCGCTCGCGACTAATGCTGCTCGGGGCAAGCGGAGCAATACAACCAAGGCGACCCCTGTCACGCTATCCGTGAATTTTTGCAACATCAGGGGACTTCACTCCAACCTTAACGCTGTCCATTACCATCTAGAGACGGCGAAGCCGGCCTTGCTCTTTTTAACCGAGACTCAGGTGTCCTCTCCGGCTGATACTTCATATCTCTCCTACCCGGGGTACAAATTGGAACACTCCTTTGTGCCCCGGGCTGGAGTTTGCGTATAAGTCAGAGAGGACATCTGTTTTCGACGCCTCGGCAGTCTTGAAGGTACGGACCTGTCCATCCTATGGTTGCGCGTAGACAGCGACGACCATCCCCGCGTCTACGGGTGCCTCTATAGGTCCCATAGCGGTAATGCCCACACAGACCGACTCATCGACCACGTTCAAATGGCTGCAGACTCCGTGCTACAACAGGTCCCATCCGCAGAGATCGTGATACTCGGTGATTTTAACGCCCACCACGCTAAATGGCTTGGTTCTCGTGTAACCAATCATGCGGGTAGATCTGTCTATGACTTTGCTTTGGCATATGGTCTGACAAAACTGGTTACTTAGCCTACGCGGATCCCAGATGTGGAAGACCATGTACCTTCCCTGTTGGACCTTCTGCTGACCTCACATCCGGACGGATATCAGATCTCCGTCGATGCCCCTCTGGGCTCTTCGGACCATTGTCTGATCCGGAGTACGGTGTCACTCACGCTCCAATCGTAGTTGCGATCTGCAGCTTGCCGCCGTGTTTGGTACTATAGGTCAGCTGATTGGGACGGGATGCGGTCTTTTTATGCATACTACCCTTGGAGGCGGGTTTGCTTCTCGCCGGAAGATCCCAGCGTTGATGCCGATTCTGTTGCTGATGTTGTACTTCAGGGTATGGAACTTTTTATTCCATCCTCTGTGGTGCCCATCGGAGGCAGATCCCAGCCATGGTTTGGTCGCTCCTGTAAAATAGCATCACGCTATAAGCAGGAGTGCTACCGGGCCTGGGCTGACGCATCAACGTCTCGGGATATAAACACCAGCGCACTTAAAAAGAAGTATAATTCCGCCTCCAGGTCCTTCAAGAGCGTCATTGCCAAGGCAAGGTCTGAGCACATCGGCAGAATTGGCGAAAAGCTAGTTCGCCTTCCTTCGGGAACCCGTGCATTCTGGTCTCTCGCCAAGGCTGTCCAAGGGAACTTCTGTCAGCCATCTCTTCCATCTCTGCACAGAGAGGACGACTTACTGGCCCATGCCGCAAAGGAGAAAGCCGATCTGTTGAGCTCTCTTTTTGCGTCCAACTCGACTCTAGATGACGGGGGAACACACCGCCGACCATCCCGCGATGTGAGTGCTCCATGCCGGATGTGCGGTTTACACAGCGCTCGGTTCGCAAAGCACTCTTCTCCCTGGATGTCAGCAAGTCGAGTGGGCCCGATGGAGTCCCTCCCATTGTACTGAAGACGTGTGCTCCGGAGTTGGCACCGGTTTTAACGCGTCTTTTCCGGTACTCCTACTCCCAAGGCGTAGTCCCGAATTCATGGAAGACAGCTTTGGTCCACCCGATCCCTAAAAAAGGCGACCGCTCAGACCCGTCCAACTACAGGCCTATTGCCATCACCTCCTTGTTCTCCAAAATAATGGAATCCATTATAAACTGCCAGCTCATGAGGTACCTTGAGGATCACCAGCTGATTAGTGACCGCCAGTACGGTTTTCGTCGAGGTCGATCAGCTGGTGATCTACTAGTCTATCTGACTCATAGATGGGCGGAGGCAGTAGAGTCCAAGGGGGAGGCATTGGCCGTTAGTTTGGACATAGCCAAGGCCTTCGATCGGGTCTGGCACAAAGTGCTTCTTTCGAAACTTCCTTCCTATGTGCTTCCCGAGAAATTGTGCAAATGGATCACCAGTTTTCTTGCTGATCGGAGCATCAAGGTTGTAGTAGACGGTTCATGCTCTGATTTCAAGCCTATCAACGCTGGTGTTCCACAAGGCTGCGTGCTATCACCAACGCTGTTTCTCCTGCATATCAATGATATATTGCTAACTGGTAGCATTCATTGCTATGCAGACGACAGCACCGGTGCCTTATATACCGGCCGTGCCAATATTTCTCGGGAAAACGTCGCTGAGTACCGGGACAAACTTGTCTCTGAAGTCGAGTCTTTGCTTAACAAGTCTCGGATTGGGGCCGACTAAATCTAGTCCAGTTCAATCCCCAGAAGACACAAGTTTGCGCGTTTACCGCTAAAAAGAACCCCTTTGTCGTATCTCCTCAGTTTCAAGGCACTCCCCTTGCTGCCTCAGCTAGTATCGGAATCCTTGGCGTCGACATATCGAATAGTGTGCAGTTTACCGTGGTCACTTGGAAGGGAAGGCCAAATTGGCCTCAAAAAAGCTTGGCGTGCTCAGCAGAGCGAGACAGTATGTCATGCCGGCAGATCGCTTGCAACTTTACAAAGCGCATGTTCGGCCCCACATGGAATACTGTTCTCATCTCTGGGCCGGGGTACCCCAGTGCCAGCTCCTTCCACTTGACCGCATCCAGCGCAAAGCGGTTCGAATCGTCGACGACCGAGTTCTTTCTGATAGGCTCGATACACTGGCACTGCGTAGAGATGTTGCATCTCTCTGCGTATTTTACCGCATCTATCACGCGGGTGCTCTGAGGAATTGTTCGGACTAATTCCAGCCGCTCAATTTCACCATCGCACATCGCGACAAAACTCGCGTTACCATCCATACCATCTAGATGATTGGCGATCCACCACTGTGCGATTTAGAAGAAGTTTTCTCCCTCGCACAACTTCCTTGTGGAATCAATTACCACCAGCGAATTTTCCGGAGCGATACGACTTAGGAACCTTCAAGAAAAGAGCTTACACCTTTCTAAAAGGCCGGAAACGCATCTGCAATTCCCCTGGTGTTGCGGTTGTTCATGGGCGGCGGTTAGTCACTTACCATCAGGTGAGCCGCATGCTCGTTTGCCCCCCTCTTCTATAAAAAAAAACTACAACCAAGAACCGATGTTCCAGGAAGTCTTCACTCTGTGAACATGTTCAAGACTGACCACGTTCTTAAACTAGATTTTATAGATCACAAATCCTTGCAAAAGAACAGCCATTCCTAAAAAGGATGATTTGCGAGGCTACTGAAATTAATAAAAAAAACATCCTAATTTAATAGAGAATATGGATGGGTGCTACCATATGCTTGGCATCTTATAATTAATAAAATTAAATTCAAACCCAAGCAAACCACTGACTGAAGACTTCAAGTTACCATAAGCTCATTTTGCATAGATGGAACCAAAAATTAATATTCAAAAACTGAAGGTAGCCGGACTAACTATGACATCGGGATGTTAAACACCTCAGTCCCCTCCATGACCATGGGTGCTGTAAAGCACCCAAAACGTTAGGAATTAAAAAGTTAAGTTAAACGCAATAAAATCCATAAAATTAGTTTCATTTAATGCAATGTGATTGTGTAACTCTGATAGTAATCATGGTAAGCTTGATTTTGAAAATAGATTTTTTTCTTTTTTTTGTATTGTAGCTATAGAATATACCTACAATACAAAAATACAATAGAATAATTTTTATTCTATGTTGATTACAAGTGATTCTTATTGAGTCATTTTTTTACTTTACCACTGGTTCGGAAAAAACCTCTGTCCTGGGAAGAACCAGCAATAGACCCAGCGGGTCTTATTTTTAAAATAAATTTAAGAATATAAATGGTTACAAACTATTTACAAAATTTATTTTAGAAACAGCTTTGAAGTGACCACCTCTTTTTCATGGGTTATTATCAACCATGTATTCATTTATATAATAATAACCCTTTTTATAGTTTTTGTTTAATTGACCACTTAACCGTCCATCCCGCGAGAGTGATTCTCGCGCGACTTGTCCGCGTATTAAATGTCACAATTTTTTACGACCGCGCGAGACTGTCTTAACAAAAACGATAACTACTGAAAAACTACTATAGCTACATTCAAATAAAAAATATTCTCAAAATACTCAAAAAATTCAAAATTTAATTTTGTTAAAAGAAAATTAGTCAAATCTATACTTAATATAATAAAGCGGAAGAGTTTTGTTGTTTGTTTAAATGCGCTAATCTCTGCAACTACCAGTCCGATTTGAAAAATTCTTTTTGTATAGGGTAGTAATAAAAGCTCCGACAAAAAAATAAGAATTGCCCTTACTCAAAATATGAAATCTACTGCCTCAAATACTAACTTTCCGACTACTTTTGTCCGAATAAAAATGAGGAAACGACCGAATAAAATACTGAAATCTTCGAAAATTAAATATTAACCTTTAGTGCTATAATACTTTTCTACCAGCTTAAATTAGGTTTTACTGAAAACTATGCTTTGTAATTTTTATCTGTACTTACCTACTATTTATATATAAATTACCTTCCATATTTCATAGACTGTGGTGCTATTTTAACTACAACGTTATACTGAAAATATTATTCAGAGTGGTTATACAGAAACTTATAAAAAATATAAAAAGGTACTTGTAATAATATTACCTTTTACTTATCATGAATTATACTTACCACAGGTATGCTTCGATATCAGTACTTACTTCAGCCCCCATAACATGACCATCAAAACACGATATGATAAAGCGATTTATCGCTATGAACGGTCAGAATACAATGGAATTTTGAAAGTTCAAGGTACGTTGTACTAGAGCAGGTGTTAAAAATTCAGAACAGTCATATAGATAAATCTAAACCCAGGTTGATTTTGGTTTCCTACAATATTTTACTATTATCCTGTTTTTTTTTAACCGACAAATTCCCTTGTTTTTATAATGTTAGCGAGAAAAGAGATAAAAATAAAACAAAATTCAGTTCATTATAAAAATATTGTTTGATAGGTAGTACAAAATGTCATACATAACTGTACTTATGAACTAAATAGGGAGGTACGTAGTTAGTTGTCAGTATCTTAATTATCTTCATTGTATTATAAGAGCTGGTCTGGATTTAGTAAGACGACCCCGTTTCCTTTTTTGTCCTATAGGTAGTGCTTTCGCTTCCATAGGTGGAGTCGCGAGCTTCAATCTAATAGCGAGCCCTAGAAGGTGTTTACAAACGTATTTTTTATGAAACTGTGGGCAAGTGCAGGATCCTTTTCTCCATTCTACATTTTGTGTTTCATTTTTAGGCACTGTGACTTTCCAGAAAGCAAAATGTTTCATCTTGTAATCTTCAAAGTTTAACCACTGCTCACCGTACGATACCTCTCCTACTTGGCTACTACTTGGGATCAAGTATTCAGTGTATGCCGTATTGGATGATAAAATCTTTATTCTTAAATCTTTCCTTGCCCAGCAATACCCATCGGTCCAATCCTTCAGCTCAATAGTAGGTGTTTCAGGTAAAGGTTCTTTGCAGCTTTGTAAAGACCACTGAGCAATCATCTCAGTGGCAATGGTCAAGAAATGTGAAAGTGGAAGACGTTCACGTAAGGTGTTTTGGTCTTTTATGTTCCGATTGAATGCTTCTAATGCATTATTTGTGGCGGGTGAACACGGCGCTGCGCCTAAGAACCAATTTGGATGTTTTTTTAACCATTCTTCTTTAAAATAGTGAATAAACTCGGTTTGAGTCTGCCATTTTTCAACAAAAGCCTGTGATGCAGCATTAAATACTTCATATGATGTAGCATTATGTAGTGCGTCTATGTCTTGTACGATTTCTTTCTGTTTTGTTTTATTGTTGACGGTTTTCTGAACTTTTTGGTGCATATTTTTCTTCGCGTGAGCCCAGCACATACGAATAACTGGTGTGGTACCAAAAACTGCGATGAAAGCATTTCTTATACTCTGAGCAGCGTCACAAACTAAAACTTTAGGTTGCATCACGTGATCAAATAAAGACAGAACCTTTTCTTTAAGGCCATCAAAAATCATTTGAAAATCTTCTTGACGTTCATTCGTGGACACACCAAGACAAAGCGGATGGAACTTGCGGTTCTTATCAGTGGTACCAAGAACTAAAACGGGGAACCCTTGCCATATGAGTTTGTATGTGGCGTCTATGTGCAGTATGTCCGTGGAACAAACTATGTTGAGTAATTTTTTAGTTGACAATGCCAGACGAAAACTTGGTTCTTCCACTTCTATCACGTGATAGCTGAACACGAAAACTTCATTTTCATCATCGGGAATAGTCCATTTTTCAAGTTCACCTAAGTAAATTGCAGCTCTTCCGAACTTCTCGCGGCTTCTGTCATATAAGTAGTTGTTAAGTTGCCGTTTCGAAGGCGCCTTTATCCCTGTCATATTGTTTAGAGCCTCTAATATAGCTTTAGGCTTTAGGCGTAAATCAAACAGCTTATTTATTTCTCTTTTAACGTTTTCCGGAATTCCGTACTCACTTCGCGTACCAATCTGGTCATGGTTGTGCTCTGAAGTGGTCTTAAAAATAAGAATATCATTACAATCGTTCACAAACAATAAATACAACGCACAATCACACTGTGGCCCCTTGGATTTTACCTTGTTACAACGATAGAAACGTTTTTGGCCTTCATCACTGTCCCGAGTATAATTTCTTGACCAAGTCTTTTCATTACTCACAAATTTCTCTGCTTCTTGTACATTATAGCACCGTTTGATCAACACCCAACTTTTGTTACGACGATTCTTCTTCGCCTGTACCGATGGACCAGCTCCCTCTTCTTCCTCCTCCGACTCAGAACGGTACACGGGTACCTCATCCATATTCACAACAATACTAAGTTTCCTTAATAGATACTAAGTTAGTAGTTACCTAAGTAGATTTATTAGTTTTTTGACATCATAATATTAAACCAATAGCAACAAAAACTATTTAATTTCATAACTTATACAAACAAAACACGCAAGGATCGGTCGTTGCAAGCGCACTGCGCTCGGAACATCCATCCGACCTCGCGAAAACAGCCGAACGCGACCCGAACCCGATCGCGCGGGACAAACAGTTGATGGCTCCAGTACACGTTGGCCGAGCGCGCTTGGCGAGCGCACTCGGCAGATTTTCGTGGTGCCGTTCACACTTCACACGTTGGCATGTTTCATTCTGCGTTTCTGCGTTCGTTTCATTCATTCTGCGGTAGCTAGATGATGATGGACGTAAGGGCAATCGCGGCCGCTGTCATATACTTATACAGCGCTTCACTCTTCTCAGAGCGAACGAAAAAAAAACTACACATACAACAATAATCCAAGTTTGTCCTTTTTAGGGTTCCGACCTCAAAAGGAAAAAAGAAACCTTTATAGGATCTACTAGCTGACCCGTGCCCGCTTCGCTGGGGGTTTTTTCAAAATAAATGATAGCTAAGTTACATTATCCCTGAGCAACATAAACGCAGAGATAATTTATAATAATATTTATCATTAGGTAGGTACTCTGAAATCGCAACTAAACATGTATTATTTAATACAGTTCGGCAAGTTACTTACTCTGGTTTTATTTTTATGTTACTCATGTTTGGGGTTCCATAGAACTGATTCATTGTGAGAATCAATCAATGAACAATGAATCAATATTTCACTCTATAATAATTAAATCGTAATGTGTTGGTATGCATATAAGTAACATTAAAAATATATTATATTGAATTATATATTTTTTCGTAATATGTAATATTTATTTATATATATACATGCGTATATATATATATGTGTGTGTGTGTGTGTGTGTGTGTGTGTGTGTGTGTGTGTGTGTGTGTGTGTGTGTGTGTGTGTGTGTGTGTGTGTGTGTGTGTGTGTGTGTGTGTGTGTGTATGTATATATTTGTATTGTATATGAATATTTATGTAAGTGCACACTTTGACTATCTCTATTTCCTTCAACTATCCTTCAATAGGCCTGCTGGAAGAAATTTCATCATGGAATAGGCAGTGCCTTTGTACATAATTATGTTTTTACCATTTTCCTATCGAATTATGTGTGTACATAAACTGTTAAATAAATAAATAAATATTTCCTCATTAGTTCATGTCGCCATGTTGAAACAATTTTATTAAGCCGACACTACAGTCTACTCCGATGCGTAACTATGAACTGAACACTCGGCCAACGTGTGAACACTGTTTGCGGCTTGCGCCAAATTCCTTTGATTTGTGCACGGAAAACCGACACTATACGGCTCGTCGGCGAACGTTGGCCGCAAACGCCAAATATATACAAAACGCCCCAGTACACGTTGGCCGAGTGCACTCGGCGAGCGCGCTCGGCCAACGTGTACTGGAGCCATGAGGTATTTTCATCATTATTGAGAGTTAAAGATATATTTGATAACCAACAATAGAAATTATAATAGTTCATGCAAGTCGTAAAAATACGATTATTTTGTCCAAACCTTTGTTATCGGTAACTTAGTAACCTTGTCGGAGGTTCAGTATTTTATTCGGAAGTTTATTTTTGTTATTCGAAGATCTATTTTTTTTTAGGAGAAATGTAATTTGACCGTTCTCTCCTTTGTTTGTTAAATTTGTAATTTTTTTTCGGTATGTATTGGGTTTTTTTGACGGTAATTTATTATAATGCTGGTTAATTAGAATAATAGTCGGCCACAGATCGCTGGAGATTAATTTGTTTTTCGGAACCATTATTATTTCCCTTTTGTATATTATAGCCAGATTTATGTGGAATAGTATAGGCTATCTAGCATTAAGCTATATTACTCAGCTAGCCTTAAATATGGATATGTGTTAAGCAAGTCAGAAGAAAAAGCACTCCCGAAATGATTTATCCGCGTACGCTGGTGTTATCGTTAGGGATACGTAAATACAATGTTCTAGAAAAATATAGACCTTATTCCGTCTAAAAAAAAGTCCGCGATACCATATGTCTATTTCTTATACATAAGCCATAATTTGGTATTTTGTGACAAAAAAATATTGAAAATTTAAAAGTGATTTATGAGCGTTATTATTAGGCATGGCCTATTTATCCTTACGAACGAAAGTTACTTCATCATCAAGACAATTTTATGAAGATAAACTTTATTCTTTATACCATGTTATTTGGACGCATAGTTTAAGAGATAATGTAAAATTATAATAATTCAATACTTGGCGGGGCGCGAACGACGCTTAAACCCTAGCTGTTATAAAATGCTTGAACTAGGTCATGTCGCGCACCTCGGACACGTGATGACGCGGGTGAAACCGCGGGGCACAGCTAGTTAAAAATAAAGGCTGAAAATAAAGCTTAAAAATGTGAATATCAAAAAAATCTTATTTATTTTACACACACTGAAATGATCGGGAATAGAATATTTCGAATTGAGTTACAATAAAACCTTTTTTAGAATTTGAATATTGGCCTCTTAGAATCATAATGACATTCAAACAATTAAAAAAAATGTTTAAAAACAAAAACTATGTTGGTTTAAAGTTGACACGTCGTTAACAGAAATGGAGCTCACGCGTGAACATTTCCGTGCCATAATTTATCACAATTTTCGTCGCGGCTTATCTCAAGATAAACGTCTCAGCGAACTTGTTTCGATTTATGATGTTGAAGCACCGAGTCAAACGTCAATATACCGCTGGTATGCCGAGTTCCGACGCGGTCGTGTGTCGCTCAGCACTGTTTCTTCTGCAGGTCGACCAAGAACAGCGGTCACGCCTGAAAACATCGCAGCTGTGCGAACTATTAGATGAACAATATTAGATGACCGTCATGTGATATACGAGCAGATTCAGGCTGTTATCAGTTGCAATTGCTGTTAAGCTATTAAGCTATCTACTGAATTGCAGAAACGTCGCATCATCTTAGATTACGATAATGCGAGCTCCCATACGGCTAGGATGACAAATGATTTTTTGAAGCAGGAAAACGTTGAGCTGATGAGCCATCCTCCGTACAGTCTTGACCTGAGCCCAAACGATTTCTTTACATTCCCTAGAATGAAAGATTTATTACGCCGTCAACGGTTTGAAGACCCCAAAGCAGCTGTGGAAGCATACAAATCAGCCATTTTGTCAATATCAACTTTAGACTGGAATTACTGTTTTAATTATTGGTTTGCACGAATGGAAAAGTGCATTAAGTTGAGGAGAATACTTCGAAAAACAATAAAATAAAATTTAGCTATACTGTGCATGTGTTTTTTCTTATTCCCGATCATTTCAGTGTGCCCCTCGTACAAAAAAAGTATAATACTGGAGACAGTTATTTTATATTATAATAGTGCATGATATTCCCTTTAAAATGACACCAATATCAATAATATCTCATATACTCTATATACATAAGTATATAATGTTTACCCAATATAAATTTTAATAAATAAGTAAATAAATAAATAAAAATAAGTTTTAATAATTTCTAGACACATCTCAACAGATATTTTGGGTATAAATTGCTATCAATGTGTTGATAGTGAATCATTCTTTTATATTTAGCATTCATTTAACACAAAAAACTGATTAGAATACATTTTAAACGACATATAATCAATAAACGATGATTGCATATAGTGATTAAAATTTCGAGCTAAATTATTATATGTAAATGTTTTGGAATTGTCGTAATGATACATATTTTACGTGGTAGAGATGGCTCCATGCTGCAGCTATATTATGGTTGTAGCACGAATGGGTCGGCTCGACCGAGGAAGGACCACGCTCTCACAGGATACCAGCGTAAAATAGCAGCTTAACGCTGCTGTGTTTTGTATGGTGAGTGTAGAGAACCGGAGACCCTTTTTACTGGAAACGAGGCATTCCATCTTAGTCCTCACGGGTGACAACGCATCTGCATTTTGATTCTTAATGGAAGATAGATGTAGATGTCTATGGGCCACAGCAACCACTTACCATCAGGTGGACTGAGTGCTCGTTTGTCACCCTTATCCTATTAAAAAAAAATTACTAAATAAAATATCTTCACAATTAGTTTGATGTACAATAACATTATAAATAATGTATAAAAACAGAAAAGTTATCACATTTTTGATCTATTTTCTCACACTTTAACATTCCACAAACAAAAATGGCGAAATTTAATTTTAACTTTTTTTTCTAAATATTTTGTTACTATTATACAGATAAAATTCACTTTCACAGACGATAAATTTCATATAGCACCATCTATAATTTTTTACTGTATTAATAACAGCTATCTTTTACGCTGTACATGTTTAAACCGAAAGATGTTTTGGTGACTATAGCCACCATGGACAGGTGAGGCAATAATTGTTTTTGGGGACTGTAGTCACCATGGATGGTTGAGTAGTTAAATATTTAAACTTGGACTATTTAATAGAGGTGTAGTGTTGTGTAGCCCCCACGACAAGAGTTGGCTTTAGTAATCTGCGGCACGATTTAAGTGATCATTTTAGCTTTAGGTGATAGGCAATGATGCTATTGATTACCATCTAGCTGCTTTTTATGCCGGAAATCCTTAGTTTTCGAGATATCGATAATTATAGTTTTGAGGTTATATTCATTTAAAAATGATACGAAAACGAAATAACAATATAATTATTAAAAAGAGATAGCAATAGAGCATGGTCTGTATCTGTTTTAAAAAATAACATGTGATTTTAGCTGCTGGAGCTGTGTCGAAATATTTAAAATTATTTTCTAAAAATATTCATAAATCACAAATTAATACCTGAAACTGAACTTTTCACATTGACAGTCACAGATATACTCGACTAAAGAGGATATAATCACAACGTTTTACGTTTATTTTCGACTTCTCGACTCGCGTCATAAGCGTCATTGCGTTACTTCCAAGTTTACATGAATGTGCTCCTTATTGTTATCATCTGCCTCCTGTTTTTTGACGACTTTGCTACCCCTCTGGAGACCGATTGCTTGCTATTTCATTTATTATTTGCTCAGACAGATTAGGTTAGAAGGGGATGGCGGGGTCGAGTGAGCGAGCGAAGCGAGTGAACAGACCCCGCCATCCCCTTCGTGGTTATTTTTTTATAAACCACCCAGAAATAAGAGGCCCTGTTCGCTCAACTTCGCCACGTTGGAAATTTATCCAGAACAAAATATTCACAATATTGTCAAAAACATTACGAAAACATAACCTCAAAATAAGATTTTTAAAAATTTATAAAAAAAACTAAGCATGTCCAGCAGGTAATGGAAGTGGGGGGTGACTATACAACTCCCCCCTCCCTCCCTCGCCCACTCGACGACCATATATTCATGCCGCAGATTACTAAAGAAATACTCACGACAATATTACATACTAGTGTTAAGTGTAGAAGTGTAGAACGGAGTGACGACCTGGTAAGACATGCAGGAAGTCGATGGATGCAGGTGGCTCAGGACCGTGCTTTATGGCATTCCTTGGGGAGGCCTATATTCAGCAGTGGACTTATGAAAGGCTGTAATGATGATGATGATGAAGTGTAGAATAAAAGTAAAGTCATAGAGAACAAGAGAAACACATCTCTCTTCTCATTGACACCTTTCCAACATTACAGAGGGTACAATACAGTTAAAATAATCAAATATTCAAAAGTTTTACCAATTCAAAAGTTAATACTAGATTAATCATTTCATACACACAATCTAAGTATCACAGTTGACGAGCAATTTAAATAAATACTAAGGGAAAAAAGATACAGTAGGTGTACTTAACTAAGAAGTAAAACCATCATATTGTAAGTAATCATTTTTCTACCAACTTCCAAAAAGAAGACGGTACTCAATTCGACTGTATATTTTTTGTTATGTGTGTTACCTCATAACTTTACTGGGTGAACCGATTTCGATGATTCTTTTTTTATTTGAAAGTACTTCTCATGTGGTCCCATATGAATTTGATCAAGGTCAGACCAATAGTTTGTGAGTTATTCTTAATAACTTATATTAAAGTCGGCAGTACAAAATTATTAATTTTTAATTATTTCTTCATCTTTCTAAAGATGGTTCTACTAGTAATAGGGTAGTGTTTACTTTTAATGCAAGACCCTGTTAATCAATAATTAGTGTGATTTGTTCATAAATTATAATTAAGCTGTTAAGAATTTGAAAGCAGAACTAAGAGATGAAAAGGGTAAACTGGTAATATGATGAGTATTTTAATGTAGTTGTAATAATGAAGTATTTGTATTTGTATGAACTACTAAAAATGCTCCTGATTTGAATGTTTTCGTATGTGAAATTTAAGTATATAAATAAATTTGCCCCCACGATACGGGAGAAAATACTAGTTTGGAGGTAACGTTTATTAAAAAAAGACAAAAAAGAATGGTACTCACCTAGATCTTTATCATTTAAGCCCAAGTGATTATCTAATTCTGTGCATATTTTAGATACTAAAGAGAGATGTTCTAATTTCGCGACCTCATCCATTGTCAGTGTTTCAAAAAGCAGACATAAATAAAACTTATTTTATACAAACGCAAACAATATCACACAAACAACACACTTTACAATTATAAAGATAATGACAAGTTGACAAGTGACACACTAAGCTAATACTGAACGACTGACATATGACACTGACACTGACAGTGACGTCTCATTTTTTTCTTTGCTGATGGACTCGTACGATCATATTTTTGCCAATTTTGTACATCTTCTCAATTTATGGTGATGTGTCATATTGTGAAGACAGTTGATGTCTTAACCTTACTTAGACAGTCGATGATGACAGTGTCTAAAGCACTTTACGGGGAGTAATCTTCATAGAAAAAATATTGGACATGGGAAACGTCATAGCAAAATAATATAAGACAGTTAGCATCCCCCCTCGCCCCTCGACATCATTGCAAAGCTACAATCATGGAGTATAGAGTAGATCAACTATATACTCCATGGCTCCAATGCAAACCGTGGCAGCTTGGCAGCCATATTGTTTATTTTGTCCGTAATCATTGTGTCACTGAGTGATATTATTACTGATTTACTCATAAATTTCCGTTTGGTTACGTTGATTTATTTCCGCCATCTCTTTGCAGTTACTTTTACCAACAATTGCCTTTTATTTTTACTTTAGTAAAGGATCACTTTAACCGGTTCAGTGCGTATGACACGCGAGTCGTATCTTTTTAAAATCGTTATAAATCGCTCAAATTGCGTTTTTGGAAATTTATCCAGAACAAAATATTCATTAATTTGGAAGTAGTTCGTGCCTACAGTTTCGTTTCTGGATATTTTAAAATTTTTAAATTTTAGGGGTTGACAACCTTTTTTAACTTGTACATGGTACTCTTTTTACTTTGTGGGTTTTAAATCATGTTGTGGAAAAATAATCTAATAAGTAACAAATAATAGCACTCATTGCGATCGCTCAAAAACTCAAGATCGCTCAAAAGCTCATCCGCGGATGAACGCAAAGTAATTTTTTGTCAACTTTAATATAATGGACTTACGCAAAGTAACGCCTGATTCTATTAAATTTCTGAAAGACAAGTCTCCTGTTAAAAAAAAGCAATGCGTTTGTCTTATTGTTTAATTTTACGTGGTAGAGCCATGCTGCAGCTATATTAGTAGTATAGTTGTAGCACGTATAGGTCGGCTCGACCGGGGAAGGACAACGCTCTCACAGAAAACCAGCGTAAAATAGCAGCTCAACGCTGCTGTGTTTCGTATGGTGAGTGTAGAGAACCCAATACCCTTTTTACTGTAAAAGAGATATTCCATCTTAGTCCTCACGGGTGACAACGCATCTGCATCTAGAATCTTTATTGAGGATAGATATAGATGTCTATGGGTCACAGTAAACACTTACCATCAGGTAGACTGTGTGCTCGTTTGTCACCCTATACTATAAAAAAAATTGCATAAAATAGTTGAACTGCCATCTTATGACTATCATATGGCCGAATAGACCTACGAAGTACCATGTGCTCTTGTGATATGGTATAGGGTTTATTTTTGCTTGAAACAGTTTGAAACCGTTTATGCACAAAACAAGGTCGCTAATAATTATTCTTTTGTCAATCCGCCGCCGTATGGCTTCGGCGTTTTTTTCCCTTTTGCAAACACTTGTTTTGCTATTCTTACTAATTAGACGTTTTCAGATCGACTTTACTTTTACATTTGTATAACATTAAATAATATTTAACATTTGTAAATGAATATCAATGAATCATAAACCTTTTTTTTCAAATTAAGGTTCTTGATTGTTTGATATTTACAAATGTTATTAGTAGGTGAAAATTTAATTTAATAAAAACCAAGGTTATTCAGGGTGATTTAGCGATACCTACTTATATAAATGTTTTTTTTTTTATATAACAGAAAATAGTACAAATGGTTTGTAATCCCTGCATAAAAAAGTCACTTACTCTCAATTTAAAAAAAAACACGTAGAAAAACATTTAGTTACCCAGTAAAAACAAGTATCCTGCCGTTTATAAGTGATGTTTGATGTCAACTAAACTTATTTAGGTCTAAACAAGTGAATTGTCATATTTGATGCACCACATTTAATCAAAGGAATGCGTAACAATTTTTAACAAAAAAATATACTATACCAAGAAAATATTTCTACATGGACATATATTGTAGATGCGTATAATTTAGACTGTGAACATGCAGAAACACGTTTATAACACAAACTTAATGACGAATATGTTATTCCTGATAATAAAAATTTAAGGTACAAAATAATTGTAATTTTATTTCAATTACATGTAATTTAATTTTTGTACACGTAATAAACTTATTCTTAATCAAATTCTATTGGATTATTTGCAGGTTAAGTATTATGTTCGTATATTTAGTAAAACCGTGGCAGGAGCCTTAATTTATATCTCTGCATTTTGTTAGTTATTATATTAATTATTTTATTAGATTTATAGCACCATAAAACTGTAGTATTTTATAAGGTGAGTGATGAGAAACAAAAACCCTGGTAACAAGGCATTATTTTGTATTCAAGGGTGACAATGCATTTGCATTTTGATACTTAATCGAGGATTAATGTAGGTGTCTGTAGGCCACAGCATTCATTTACTATCAAGAGAAATGGGTGCTTGCCTGTCCTGTTTAATTCTATAAAAAACACAAACTTCTTCTGTAACTTAAATATATTGTACAGAGTACTTAATTATATTTAAAATTTTATAATATTTCGAATGTTTATTACAGCTAAGAGTGATTCATATGGGCGGCCAGTGAGCAAAATACTGAAAAATACTGCAGAAATAGTATATTTGACAGTGTAAATGGAAGTGCGGTGATAAATAAAAAAGAAGAGAGAAAGAATTAAGAATTGCTGTTACAGAAAAATGTAAAAAAGATCACCAGCTGAGCGACCTCGACGGAAACCGTACTGGCGGTCACTAATCAGCTGGTGATCCTCAAAGCACCGCATGAGCTGGCTGTTAATAATGGTTTCCATTACTTTGGAGAACAAAGAGGTGATAGCGATAGGCCTGTAGTTGGATCGATCTGAGCGGTCTACTTTTTTAGGGATCGGGTGCACCAAAGCTGTCTTCCATGAGTTTGGGACTACGCCATGGGAGTAGGAGTACCGGAAAAGACACGTTAAAACCAGTGCCAACTCCGGAGCACACGTTTTCAGCACATTAGGTGGGACTCCATCAGCCCACTCGACTTGTTGACGTCCAGGAAGAGGAGTGCTTTACGCAACGAGCGCTGTGTAAACAGCACTTCCTGCATGGAGCACTCACACCGCGGGATTGTCGGCAGTGTGTTCCCTCCATCATCTAGAGTAAGGCTGGAAGCAAAAAGAGAGCCTAGCAGATCGGCTTTCTCTTTTGCGTCATGGGACAGTGAGTCGTCAACCCTGTGCAGAGATGGCAGAGATGGCTGACAGAAGTTCCCTTGGACAGACCTTGGCGAGAGACCAGAATGCACGTGTTCCCGAAGGGAGGTGAACTAGTTTCTCGCCAATTCTGCCGATGTGCTCTGACTTTGCCTTGGCAATGACACTTTTGAAGGACCTTGAGGCGGAATTATACTTCTTTTTAAGAGCGCTGGTATTTACATCCCGGGACGTTGATGCGTCAGCCCAGGTTCGGTAGCACTCCTGCTTATAGTGTGATGCAATTTTGCAGAAGTGACCAAACCATGGTTGATTTCTGCCTCCGATAGGCATAGGATGATGGAATAAATAATTCCATTCCCTGAAGTACCACATCAGCGACAGAATTAGCAACAACGTTGGGATCATCCGGCGAGAAGCAAACCCGCCCCCAAGGGTAGGATGCAAAAAAAGACCGCATCCCATCCCAATCAGCCGAGCCGACCTATTGTCATAACATAACACGGCGGCAAGCTGCACATCGCAACTGCGATGGGAGCGTGAATGCCACTCCGGATCAGACAATGGTCCGAAGAGCCCAGAGGGGTATCGACGGAGACCTATCCGTCCGGATGAGAGGTCAGCAGAAGGTCCAACAGGGAAGGTACATGATCCTCCACATCTGGGATCCGCGTAGGCGAAGTAACCAGTTGTGTTAGACTATATGCCAAGGCAAAGTTATAGACAGATCTACCTGCATGATCGGTTAAACGGGAACCTAGCCATTCAGCGTGGTGGGCGTTAAAATCACCGAGTATCACGATCTCTGCGGATGGGACCTGTTGTAGCACGGAGTCTGCAGCCATTTGGACGTGGTTGATGAGTCGGTCTATGTCGGCATTACCGCTATGGGACCTATAGAGGCACCCGTAGACGCCGGGATGGCCGTCGCTGTCTACGCCTAGCCATAGGATGGACAGGTCCTTACCTTCAAGACTACCGAGGCGTCAAAAGCAGATGTCCTCTGTGACGTACATGCAAACTACAGCCCGAGGCACAAACGAGTGTTCTAATTTGTACCCCGGGTAGGAGAGATACTAAGTATCAGCCGGAGAGGACACCTGTGTCTCGGTTAGAAAGAGCAAGGCCGGCTTTGCTATCTCCAGATGATAGTGGACGGCGTTAAGGTTTGAATGAAGTCCCCTGATATTGCAGAAATCCACGGAAAGCGTGGCCTGCCTTTGTCTGCTTGCTTCGCTTGCCCCGAGCAGGTTTTGTCGCGAGCGGAAAATCGCCCCCCCCCCCCCCCCCCCCAGAATAAGCGAGGCAGCCTGAGCACCCACGCTCAGAAAGAGTAGGGTAGCTTGGGCGTGGATGCCGAGCGAGGGATTCTCCAGGGATGCTGGTACCCTCCTGGGGTAGTGTTCCTTTTAATTCCGCTACCATGTTGATGGGGGGCGGGGATTAGACCTCCGGCCACCTGCACTCACCATGCAAAATGCAGATGTAAACTTCTACTTCACGCTGGTATTCTGTGAGGTCGTGGTACCACCCCGGTTCGAGCCGGCCCATCTGTGCGACAGCAAAAGCAAAAGCTGCCACGTGGCTCTACCACTGTTAAAACGGAGTAACCGTT